CCGGTGTTGATTCTCAAGTCTGAATCGAAGTCGGCCCTTTTCTCATGCCTGGCGTCTAGACGTCTAGCATGACGTCTTGCATACGTCATTTGACTTTGCATGGCAGAATGGCGTCCTCAACTGCTCCTTCTACGAAACCTCAGCATCTGACTGGCTGCACTGCACAGATAGCCGGGAATCAATCTGCAGCATACCCGAAACCCCGAACCCCAGAGCAAAAAGTGCAAATTCGGAACAGGCAAAAGGTGGGTCCGGAATCTGATGAATGTCATGAGGCTGCGTCGGGAGAGACGAAGTCTATGGTTTATAGGGTTGAGGGCAGTTTAGGGTGTCAGGCAAAACTGTGTCGCAGAATCTGAGGAAGCCTATATACATCGAGGTCTTCGAGCAGTACATGGGGCTGTGCCGCTCTGCGTGAGACAGCCAGACGATTCGATCCGGCTGGGCGCTGGCACCCTGTACTGCGAACAACCTGCAGAGTGCAATACCCCCTAATTATCCTAATTAAGGAATATGGCTTAAACTATATGGGGCTTCACATTATGATTTAAGCTATATTCCTTAATTAAGGGGTATTGGGCTCTCTGGGAACAACCTGCAGAGTGCAAGGTGTAAGACTCGGTAAGGATCCAACTAAGGCTGCACGTCTATCTATAGTCTCCATTGTAGTTCCTTTTTGTGGGTAACCAATTCTATGGTTAGGACCCTGCACTAGTTTCTTGTTAACCAAAAAAGGAGCTACAACCAACGGAGACTATAGGTGTACTTAGAAGTTCAACCATCAAAGACATCAAACATCCAATTCCGATCGAACAACTGACTAGAATAACACGGTGGGGATCTTGCGTCGTCGCGAAATGAGTCCATTAGCCCCTTAATCCAAATAGGTCTTACGCCCATACACCCTGAGCCCCCAACACAACTATCAAGGAAAACTGACGGTCACACCCGTAATGAAAGGGATGTTCGAATGTTCACGCGGGGCCCAGTTAGGCAAAACATGTTGAAGTATGTATGGAGATAAGTACTAGTTTGAGGCCCGAGGTTTGTCGGATCGTACGTGACTCTGATCTAGCCCATTATGCCATTACAGCCGCCTGAATCCTAAGCCTGACGTCTGAATGCCAGCTGCTGTCGTGACTGGAGGGTTTAGGCGGCGTGACGAAGTCGCTGGAGCGCTTCTCATCACTCGTGCAGGGACTGCCATGTAATTAGTCACAGATCCACAATAACTGAAGGGTTTGGCCGCAGGTTGATGGCTACAACAATATATCCGAGACCCTAAGCTGATCACGGCCCATGGAGTTCCACCACACTCAGAACTACGCTTTCACTGCGCCGCCATGCAGCAAGAGCTCAAGATACTTCTTCTGACTCTCCTGGGACCACGGACTGAATACCCAGCATGTGGGGTTGGGGGTTTGAGGCCTACCAACAGTAAGCAAACGGATCTCGACACCTATAAGCAGTGGGCTATTATTCTACATACTTGCGGGATCCAGGCAGGTCTTTTTTTGAGGTTGTAAGCTTTCAGGTTTCAGGTAGATGAGCAAGGGATGTACGGCAAAACCTCGCCTCTCCCAAGGAAAAACAAAGAAGCGCACATGCAAGCAAAGCTGCGCGGATGCGCTGAAGTGTGGCCAGACTCCGGGACAAAGATGCAATCTCTGCCTCCAAGTTTGCGCCTTCGCAGCCCTAAGCCCTAAATCCCTTAACCCTAGACAAGGGGAAGGCTAGAATGACTCGGAAACTGCACGTAACTTTCATCCTCTTAATCCCAATAAGCGGAAATATGGACTATCCAAAAGCCCATCGAGTATAGATTTCCAGCAAGTCCATACATGAAAGGAGTTTGAGAAAACAAGGGACCCCTGACACAGAGACACTCAGTATTAATTAGGATCCTTTACCAGGACGTTGCAGATGGCACACTTGCGAAACTACGTTTCAAAAATTGAGTCCTTCAACAGCTAAAGCTCGGTATTTAACCAGGAGCTGTTGCAGTTTGGACTTTAGGTTTGTTGATATGGTTTGTCTTGGGTCTAGGACTGTTGCAGAAATCCCGTCCCTCCCGGACCCACAGTATTATATCAAACCTTCGCCATATTAGGGCTTCGGGTTTATGGATTCGGGTATAGTCGGGCTTACTCCAGAGCTTAGCATACATTTGGGTTTCGGGTATACTTGCGGCATCCGAGCATATACTCGACAACCTAATGTAGGGGTCTTGATAAATTAGAACAGGGTTTTTGGGGCCCCATTATACCACAAGAATAACAAGCAACCCCCAAAAAAATAGCAAAGGAAATTATTGACGCCACTATCCTTCGACAGGCCACGGCTCAAAGCCTTGGCTAGAGTATATACCCATAGGCCCCAAAGTAGTTCCTTTCTGGGGTTCATATATAGAGTTCTAGACGGTAATCCCAAAAAGGAACTACTTTGGGGCCTATGGGTAGGGTTTAGCGTATCAAGGTTTAGTCAAACTCTCAGCCAACTGACTCAACTCCCAAGACCATCCTCTCACAGCAAACGGTTGGAAGGAATCCGAAAGTCACTGTGCCCGAAACGCTGAAGCCCAAGCTCACGCCCCGCCACTTCCACCCACGTAAGCTTGCTGCGATTGCGGAACTGGAGGGAATGTCAGAGTTGGTAGCTGAAACCAAGAGTCCTAGAAAGCCTTTTCCGATCCCGACTACCCAGCGAGGTGTTTCTGCCTGGGGCTTTCTCTGCGGACAGCTCCTGACAAGGCGTCGAACATGGCTGCAGGTTTGACATGCTTCAGAATGTAGGACAGCTTTAATTCGGTATAAAGCCCTATGCTCAACCCTAACCCTAGAGCCCCTTTAGCTTTAAAAGAACCGTTTAAGATGGACCCTCACCTATACATTGATGGCCTAAGTAAGAGGCGTGGGCAAAGCTCCGAGGAACACGTAGTGGGGAGAGCTTGAGCTAAGCATCAATCTTTCGAGATGGTTTGGGGTTTCGGGTTTCGAGGTGCTAGGCAAACCGACCGGTGAAGGATAAAAGCCCTAAGCCGCTAGCTTTAAACCCTAACCCGAAACTTTGCCCGAAACCCTAAGCCCCAAACATCCCTGAACCCGAAACGCCAAACGCTAAGCAAAAGCACGACTCCTCGCCATCTCCAACCAGGGCAGATGCAGAAGCCGAGACGGAGAGTTCTAGGGTGTCGCCACCCACCTCAGTGAATAAAGGGATTTGTAAGGGCCCCAAACAGATAGAATAGAGCTCCTCTTTTTGAGGGCTTAATGGTGATGAGGAGGCTCCTTGAAAGCGTTCATGTGGGGCTCTAAGATTCTACAAGGGGCTGCTTTAAGGAGATACAGTACTGTTTTGGGATTCAGCAAAAGGGCCTTGATGGTTGTTACTACTATGTAAACGAACCAGAGTAAGGACGATAAAAAGGACAGTAAGTATTACTAGCTATCGCCACCTCTATGTGACACTTTGCTTCTGCTTTGGGGTTTGAGGTTAGTCTTTAGGGCAGTGTTCGGGTTTGGGGTTTCAGATTTACGGTTCATGGTCTACTTGGAGGATCATGGGACTTAGTAAGTAAGGTTATAAGTACCTGAATTGGGGTTATAAGTAGTTATAAGTAGAGTTATCATAATTATAACCCCAGGTTACTAAGTCCCATGATCCTTTAACTAGGGAGTCTACGTATTGCATCCTTGCTCTGCTACACTGTCCGTGCATGTTTGCAAGTAGAGTCAGGGGGCCACCCTAACTGGATTTCTCGAAGTGAATATTAATATACGTTATGTGATGTATCATACCCAAATGTCGGGCCAACAATTTCTGGAGTCTCGTGCAGGTTTCAGGATTGCCTAAAGTTGGGTTTAGACTTGGAGTTTAGGGGTTTAGGCTTTAGGAAACCAGGGGGCAGGGACTTAGTTACTGGGTCTGGGTGTCGCGAAGCACCAGCAGCCTCAGGGTAGCTGCTGACTGCGGGGTAGAGGAATCGACCATCAGAGTAAGAAGCTTGAGCTTCAGGAGATCCTAACCGAAACGCGAGCCTACCTGATGGCGGAGAACAGCCCCTTGCTTTGAACCCAACCTGAACCCCGGAATCTGTCTTGTCGATGTGCATCTAAAATTGGGGGAGTCTTGATAATTAGAAGAGATGTTGCAGTATCAGTTACAACAGGGAATCTCAAGGAATCGTTGTGGTAATTTTCCAAGCTTCTACATCTAACCCTCAGCAACTCTAAACTGTGAACTCTATCCGTCTCTAACTCCTAGGACCTAAGCCCTCGAACCCCATACCCTAAAACCCCAAACCCCAGAACCCACTAAGCCCTCAAAAGCAGCTGGGAGGCAGAATTCCGGCGGACACCGGGCACCAGGGAGGAGTTCGGGCTACCCATGTCCTGACTTCAAGGACTTTCAGACCAAAATACGGGTTTAAGTCTGGGGCTTTAGGGCTTGGGTTTGGGGGATTTAGCAATCCTAGGGTTTAGGGTTTTCGGGTTTGGCTTTGAGGGATTTAGTAATCCCGTTGCGATTCCGGCTTAACGACAACGGCTCGCTCCGTTGGGTTGTGAGTTCTCCGACTCGGAGTGTTTCATTTAGATCCTTCGGGCTGTGTTGAAGCAGCGAATAACTAGTAGCGACCGCCACACAAAAAAAACAACTCCTGGCATAAACGCAAAACCACAAGAAGACCCGATAACAATGGAAACCCTACACCATCGGCACTCGTACCGCATTTACGGGTTTCTTCCGGAATTTCCTGGCGTTTCTCAATTACAAGCACTACAGGGCTTCGGGGATGATCGGGCTGTTGCGTACCCTCATGGGGGGTTCCTACTTCTAATCAAAACCTGCGTGTACTTCTAACCCCGTTGCAGACTCCCCTGAGTTGCAGCTTTGCCTAGCAAGGGTGTCGGCTTCCACTGTGCCTTTTCGAAACTTGGTGCTGGATGCTTCTATTCTTTGGTACACTGCCCGTTATAGGATGGAGTAGAGCCGCAGGTTTGCTCCCTAGTAGGCCGGCACGGTGCTATCCAAGTGGCACTCATGAAGTCTTCCGAGAGCTCGCTGGCATCAGAGGAGCCAACCCTGACGTCCACATGCATGCTGCAACGTAAAGTTACTATAGGGGCCTTAATAATTAGAGTAGAGTTTGGAGGCCCGATATACTATACATGTAATAAGGAACCACCAAACTAGTATCGGTAATTACCTAGGCCCCTATTGCTATGCGTGAACATAAGTTGCTGCATGTAATACCGGCAGCATAACAGCCAAAGCAGTCGATCTCCTGTTACAATCCTTTTAATCCCTACCGAGGGGGACGGGGTTGCTGACAGGTTGCGCGCCTCGAACCCAACATACTACTGCAACCCCCAGTGTAAGTACGACACACCTGTAACTCCTCTGGGTCTCCTCATGAAGCGGAACCTTTATCCTACTTTCATTCACATCCCACCTTTGATTTCGGGCCCTTTGATTCGGTCTTTACATTGGGGTGTCGGGTGTAGGAACCAAAGAAACGCCTACAATCGTAAGTCGGCAGCTGAGAGATCTGTTGACAAAGCCCACATCATCTGAAGGCTCCGAGCCCTCAACTTGAACAGCTAGCCTGAAATCGGCTGAGAGTCCAGGGTATAGGTTTTAGGTTTAGAATTTTTGTGGAGCCTGGTTTTCACACGAAGCCCTCGGTCAAAAAAATGCAGTGCGCTTCATACTCCAAGGCTCGGACCAAAAACATCACCGGCACATTCTATCGAAGGTCCCAACGGCCTTAAAGCACTACCTGGACCCAGGCACCCATATTTGTGGGGGGTTGCTTGTGCACCTTGCTATGATTTCTTGATATTATACGTCCTGGAAAAGGAAGGTGATTTGGGGTTAAGGTATTCCTACCGAGCCTACGGTGAACCCATTACCAAGCTCATGGGTAGCATGATGAGGGAGACCCCTTAAAGGGTACCCCTTCCGAACCCCACTTCTGGCTCTCTTAACAGGGACCTTATCTATACTGAACTTAGAACCCTGGCAAAAAAATACTATTTTAGCTGTTTCTTAGGGATACTAATAACCAAAAATTGAAAATATATTTCTAAGTACCCCTAAGTTATTGAGAGGGTCTATATCCCTGACGGGCCCCCCTAATCCTAACTCCCAGCTCAGCCAGGCCCAGCCTGTGCTGCATTTCGGCCTCGCTAGGACGCCCATCCTTCGGCTTGCCTCCACATATAGGGCTTAGGGTTTAGGAGTCAGGGTTTAGGGTTTAGGATTCAGGTTTAGGGTTTAGGGCTTAGGATTCAGGTTTAGGGTTTAGGGTTTAGGATTCAGGTTTAGGGTTTAGGATTCAGGTTTAGGGTTTAGGATTCAGGTTTAGGGTTTAGGAGTCAGGGTTTTGGGTTTAGGATTCAGGTTTAGGGTTTAGGGTTTAGGATTCAGGTTTAGGGTTTAGGGTTTAGGATTCAGGTTTAGGGTTTAGGATTCAGGTTTAGGGTTTAGCAGGTTTAGGGTTTAGGGTTTAGGATTCAGGCTTAGGGTGTAAGGTTGAGGATTTAGGGGTGTAGGGTTTGTTTAGGGACACACCAGGTCATCAGGATCTTCTCATGCAGTAAGTCACTGACGCCTATGCCAGCCTTGGAGAGCTCCACAACGTTGCGCCTTGTTCGTTCGTTGATACGAAAACCTGCGCCCCCTTAAGCTCGAAACCCTAAACTCAGCGACTAAACGCTGAATCCTAAACTTTTGCAAAAAAACGTAAAGTGTAGACCTTCATCTGAAGCCCTTCCCTACACCCCCCAAACTACCTCAAAGGGCACTTGGGGGCCTGGTAAAACTGCTCTAGGGAATCAGGCTCGGGGGGGTTCAGCCGTTTCAGTCCTCCGGCCTAGTATAGGGGCCTTAATAGTGCAGTTAGAGTAGGGTTTTTGGGCCCATTATGCTGTACTGATAATACGGAACCCCCAAAATAGTATAGGTAATTACTATATTAGTGCGCCCAATCAAACCTCAAAGGAACCCTCAAATGCTTCAAAGGTCCAACGGGCCTGAGCCTTTGGATGAGCCGCGCGTGCCGCTTCGGCTGGCGGAGCCGTCGAGACCCTCCTCCTGGTGTTGGGTGTTACCTAAACCCCCAAAGGAGGTAAAATACTGGCCAAATACCTATGAAAGGCCACTATTCTACATACTTTGAGGGTCCAGGTAGGTAGGGGGGTTAGAGTTTTCGGTCGGATGTTTAGGGTATAAGGCTCATGGTGAATAGTGGTTCAAGGCTTCTGGGGCTTGCAAGAGGGCTTGAGACTCCTCCGGATGGCCTTCTTGTGTGACGGCTCTCAAAAAGAAGTTGTTTTGCTGACCGTCCCACGAAGTTGTATCCCACACCCCCAACTACCACCCAAGCCGGTCCTCTTCAATCTCCTCAGTGCTTCCCTCGCCCTTCTTGCTGCCGGCGGCCTCAGCTGAACATGGGAGGAGGCGATGTCGGTTTCTTCTTCCGCCGACCACAGGCGTTCAAGTAGGCTTGGCTGAAGCCAAGTATACAAATTATTCTGAACTTTGCCAGCTGTCGCCGTCTCTGTCTCATCTATGTTTGTCTAACCATGTGTCTGTCAAGCATGCTAGCTAACTGTCTGTTCGTATACAGCTCGCGATTTCATGTGTGTGTGTAGAAATATACACACACATAGATCTGTCTCTCTCTCTCTCTCTCTCTGTCTCTCTGCGTGCATGGGCTTGGTTGTTGCTTTCAAGGGGCTTCTCGCACCTCCTTCTTTGGAGTCGGTGTGGCTGCAGGCACCTGCAGACACGACCCTTTCAGCGCGGGTAGGGCTTTGGGCTGATCACAACAAGTGCCTCCAGCTTCCTATGCAGACCCTTGAAATTCCAGCGCAAGTTCGACGCGACCATGTCACAATGTGCGCAACTTCGCCGAAGAGAGCCGTACAGAGCGAAGTAGAAATCCGATCCAGGGCAGTGGGGTGAGGGGGGGGGGGGAACACCAGGCTTCACCCTCTGCGATGCCACGGGGGAGCTGATGATGTGTGTACAAATACTATGCAGGTATGAATGAAGCAGTATGTATACGTACATACGTATGTATGTATGTGTTTATGTATGTACGTACGTAGGTATGCATGCATGTATGTATGTCTGCCTGTGATGTCTCTGTATACATGCACAATTATATACATATACACACATAGTTATATACGTAGATGTGTGTCTGCACATGTGTGTATATTTACCTGTGTATGCATACGGAAGACCTACCTAACCCGAAAAGCTTATGTAGGCCACTATACTAAACCCCAATAATACCCCTTGTAGTAACCCTTATGGACCCCTTTAAAGGAACCCTAAACCCTATAACACTGGTATTCCCCAGTAATACCCCTTTTTAGTAACCCTTATGGACCCTTTTAAAGGAACCCTAAACCCTATAACATTAGTATTCCCCAGTAATACCCCTTTTTAGTAACCCTTATGGACCCCTTCAAAAGAACCCTAAACCCTATAATATTAGTATTCCCCAGTAATACCCCTTTTTAGTAACCCTTATGGACCCCTTTAAACGGCTCTTCGGGCAAACGCGCTGTCCACCTCTAGGCGTGCGCCGGCCAGACCGACGCCAGCAAGGCCTCTGCTGGGCATGGCCTCGTCCTTGGAAAGCGCTGCAGGCTCCTAGTTACTATGGGGGCCTTAATGACCAGAGTATGGCTGTGGGGTATACTATACTATGATTATAACGCGGAGCCCGCAATAGTATTATGGGTAATTGGCTCTCAGTGAGGGTTTGAGGGTTGAGGAATAGAGGGTTAAGACATGCGGTTTATACGGGCTAGGTCCGGAGGCAGGGTTCAGGGTGTGGTTTACGGATAGGCTTGCAGGCTTGTGCCCTAAACCCTAAACCCTAAACCCTATAAACCCTAAACCCTAAACCCTAAACCCTAAACAGGGATAGGTTTTCAGGTCTAGGGTCTGGGCTTTGGTGCTTTGGCGTTTACGGCTTCGGTCTAGTTGGACTTGTGGCTTTCGGGTCTGGGCTTCGGGTCCAGGCTGGATGAAGGCTTTCCTAGGTTCTTGTTAAGGGCTTTCATTTAAAGTACCAGAAAAAAGGAAACAGTATCATGTGCCATGGATTCCTATTTTGCTAATCTAAAACTTAACTCCTTAACAACAACCTAGTTTCAGGTGGAAGCAATCTGAAGAATCTGGGCTTCCGTACAGCTTTTTCCCTGCTCACCGCTGCAAAACCGTGGACGCCAAAGCTCTGACGGCTCCACCCAAAAAAGCGTAACCTTCTCAAGTATTCTGTTGAGTGTCCTGCTCCGCCTGCGGTACCGTCGCCTCCGGCATGTAAGGATCCACAGCAAGGCCCAAGTGACTCTGCAGAACTAGTCTGATCTCGCAGCTCGGCAGGGTCCGTGCCCCAGGACTCGCAGCACTGCTCGAAGCCGTCGACTTCCAAAGGGTTGGACGTCCCAAAGCTTCAACACCCCCGTAGACATAAACATCTGTTCCCACTAAGGACCCCTGAACATCAATCTTACTAATTTTTCAGGCCCCTACATTATCACGGTCATCTGGGAATGCTAAAACTGATAAGGCAAACCCTAAAGCTCAAAAGCCTCAAACGTTAAGCCCTAAACCCTGAAGCTCTAAACCCTCACACCTTAATTGCCCTAAACCCCCCAAACCCAAAGGCCTAGACCCTCAAACCCCAACTCAAACTTGACTTCCGAATCCCTAAAGCTCTAAACCCTAAAACTAAACCCTAAAACCTAAAGCTCTAAACCCTCAAACCTGAAGCCCAAAACCCTGAACCCTAAAGCTCTAAACCCTGAAACTCAAACCCTCAACCCCCAAAGCTCTAAGCTCTCAAACCGTAACAGAAGCAACCATAAGCCCCAAACCTAAACCCTAACCCGAACAAACCCAAAGACTCTAAGGCCTGGTGCGCTCCCCTAAACCCTACCTTGACCCTGAAAAACCTACCTTTTTTAGGGTTCCCTATTATGATTTCCTGACATAAGTCCTCAAAAAGGTAGGTTCTTCAGGGTTAAGGTAAACATTGAAACTCCACACCCTAAACCCTGAAGCTCTAAACGCTGAACCCTACAGCTCGAAACCCTCAAACCTTAAGCCCCAAACCCTCAACCCCAAAAGGGCTAAACCTCAAACCTTAACTTAAACATTGAAACTCACAACCCTATACCCAAAAGCTCTCAGGCTCTAAACACTAAACACTCAAACCTTAAGCCCTAAACCCTAAACCCTGAACCCAAAAGCTCTCTAAGGAGATCGAGCGAAGTCGCTTTGGCGGTCTTCGCCTCGCTCGTAGCCTTCGAACCCTTCTCGCCCTGCTGCGCGGTGCCTTTCGCCGGCTTTGATTCCACCTCAGCATAGGGTTTTAGGGTTTAAGGGCTTAGTTTGGGCGTTTAGGGCTAAAGGTAGGTTTACGATTTAGGGTTGAGGATTTGTATTCTAGGTTTGCGGTTTAGGATTTGGGGTTCAGGATTCTGGTGTCAGGGTTTCGCCTGGCCTGCTGTAGGCTGCCGGAGTGGGGTGAAAAGGATGGGGTTTCGGAAGTATGCGCGGTGAGGCACAAAGTTTGTGCGACAGATTTCTGAATACAAAAAGGAACCTGGTCTCATAGATCTGTTGAGTCTAGGTTCCTACTCTTCAGACTGCGTGAGCATTGAAGGTACGCAGTCCTTGAGCAAGTTTCGATGCTTCAGACCTACTCCGATCAGAACCTCCCGTGTTGTGCAGCCTCTGATCCTCCAAATACGGGTTAGGTTTAGGGTTTCGGGGTGATCGTCCAAACTTTCCGGCTGGAATCGCAGGAATCAAGGGCGGGAAGCACCATCATCTTATGCTTCGATACTTCTAAATGCCATGGTGGAGGTTATGGGTGCAGTTATGTTGGGTTCTCCTGAAGGAACTTCGTTGAAGCTACCATGACTAACAAGGAAGCCCTGTCATGTACTGTATTTTCAGCTATGGTAACTTAGGTTGAGCTCCCTAGCCAGAACTCAGTGTACAACTATATCATATGTCAAGCATGCTTACATACCCCACCTACCTGCAACTACATAGCAAGCGTCAGGCACGCCCTTTTCCCAAACGTGTCCTTGCCTCCGCACCCTCAGCTCCCAAACTACCCGAGCTGCTTGAACTCCCAATCTCTGATTGGCGGTGACTACTTAAGTCTTTTAGGCAATGAAAGGCCATGAGTAGGACAACCTCCAATGAAATAGGCTGCCTAAGGCCACAGCTCCAGGTATACTTTTCAAACTAAATCCCATCACCCTAAAGTAGTTCCTTTTAGGGATTACCTCATAAGATTCTATATACGAACCCCAAAAAAGAACTACTTTGGGGCCTTTGGGTAAATCCCAGCACCCTAAACGCTGAACGGCAACCTCCAAGCCCACCCTTTCGCTGCCTCTGTGCCCTGCGTCACCTTGTCCGAGACTGACCTCGGGTGCCGGAGTTTTGGAGTCAAGGAGCTGAGCTTGGAATGTACAGTAGCTCCCCAGAGAGCCCAATACCCTTTAATTAAGGAATATGGCTTAAATTATATAGGGCTTCATATATTATGGTTTACGCTATATTCCTTAATTAAGGGGTATTGGGCTCTCTGGGTCATAAGATTCTTCATTCAGTTCTAGGACAGGTGACTCAAGGTTTGTTTTGGTGCTTAGGGCCTCGACTCCTTCAACCCGAACCCCGGGTGAGGATTAGATTCGGGGCTTATATACCCCTGGGTTGAGTCCTCTGCATTGTCTTTGGACTTGCGCTTTCCTTCCAATCTGGGGGCCTGCGGCAAGGGTTTTGAGTTATGGGGCCGCCTTGTCGGTTGCTCTGGCATGCCTTCAACCCTGCTGAAGCCTACTTGGAGGTTCATGGGTAGTTATAAATAGGGTTATAAGCAGGATAACTATGGTTATATAGCCTATATTAGGGAACTTTTTAGCCCAACTTAAAACTACCCATGAACCTCCAAGTAACCCTAACCTAGACATGGTACGTACTTTGGGCCATTTGGAGCCTTAGGGTAACTAGGAGCCTCGACACCCTCAGAATCTATAACATCATAAAACTGTGAGTCATGCAGACTGCAGCGACTTGACGAATCTGACTGGCTTGGATGGGTACCTGTTACTGCCAGTGCTGTGATATCTAGGGCTTTAGTTATGCTGACAGGGCGTACGAACCCACAAACCCTGTAGAACTCGCTTAAGCCGAGGCGCAAAGAGCCCGACCCAGAGAAAGACTCATCTGCCGAGACGGACAGCGAGCCGCCGCCTAGCACGGCGAACTTGTGGGTGTCCTAGGGCCTTATGTTAGTTCTTTCTTTCCTGCTTCACTTTAAAAACCCTAAAACCTAAAACTCAAAGCTTGAGAAGCAAACCGCTGCAGCTGAAAACCCGAACCTGCCACTACATGGGAGTTTCCGAAAGTAGGGACCCTAATATAGTACCCTGAATAGTAGGATCCTTATCATAAGGACCCCGAAATAAGGTACCCCTAATATTCGGAAACTCCCACATCAGCTTAAACCACGAGCCTTAGAGTTAGACCCAGGTCTTCTGATGCCCGGGTTGGCACAGTCTCCTTCACAGGCAAGCCCAGTGGCCCGTATGATGACCCAGTCTACTGTTACATGACAGTTGTAGCGTAGGTTTCAGGTCCAAGATTTTGGGATAGTCTACTGCGGTTATGCTGGCCCGAAGACAGCAGCCTACTACATTACTTAATAGGCAACAGAAGCGTTTAGGCTTAAGTTAAGCTCTGACTCACTGTCTATGGCTGATGGTGCTCAGGCAAGATAGGCGGCAGAGGATCCCGCGTCTTGCTCTCGGTGTTTTAAGGCTATGAATATGAACCTCAGCCAACATAGCATAATAAATAATACCCCGAGCAGCTTCGGCTTTGGCAAAAGGGCCCGGAATGGCTGACCAAGTGACCGCCCATAATGCTGAAGCGTCGAACAAAGCATCTCCGCAATTCCAAGCGCAAACAATCAAACGAGAATTGGGGGTATGCAGTGTTGATAGAAATCCCATAGCCCTAACTGCCTGCGACGATCGATTGAGTACTCAGTCAGGCCTTGGGGTCCTGGTTCGTGCAACCTGAATCCGACGGACTAGATCTTCCAAGATCCTCTCTACGTAAGCACTACTTGGAGGTTCATGGGTAGTTATAGGTGGGGTTACAAGTCCCCTAATATAGGTTGTAACCATAGCTAAGCTACTTATAACCCTAAGTACTTATAACTACCCATGGGCCCATGAATCTCCGAGTAACCCTGATAAATAATCCCAGAGAGTTACCTGCAGTGTCTGCGGTCGTCTTCGACGTGCGAACGATTTTCGCAGCAGACTTCTCCAGGCGCTTCCTTGGATTTTTCTTCCGAGACGGTATGTACTTTGGCCTTTAACAGGTTCCTCATAGGTAGATGAGTGCCCCGGGTAGATAATTGCTACATTTTTTCATACATATACATATACATATGTGTACAGATACACGTATATGTATAGATAAATAAATAAATATATATATATATATATATATATATATACACACACACATAGATACATGGACCCCCCATACACGTGGCTTTGCGTCTAGAGTTCACCACTTTCCTGCAGATGAGTTCTGTCCTTCAACGCAACAGGATTTCCTGCTGACCCCTGTGGCTTTAATGTGGCCGTTGGGGTATCATCTTGAGCATAAGGCATGAGAGCTACAGCCTGCTAGTGTGGACTAAACACGTAGACCAACCTGTGGTGGACTTTTGAATTATGCATATATTGCAAAAAAATCAGGGATCGAAGAATACTATTCAGCCCCCTACACCAGACTTCACGAGGCTTTCGGTGTTTCACGGCGACGGTTGGGCCCCGGCGCAGACCTGGAAGCCAAATTTCCTGAAGACCGAACATCTGAATCGCCCTAAAACCAAAACGCTACACCCTATACTTTGGGATGATAGATCATTGAGTTTTCCTTCGCTTGACATCCTCGTCAGAGTCGAGGTCTAGGAAACCCCACGGAAACAATCCACAGGACTCGAGCCTACTATACGGGCCTTAATGATTAGAATATGGTTTTGGGGCCCATTATAATTATGACAAGAAACCCACCAACAAGTGTATAGGTACTTATTAAGGCCCCTATAGTACTCCTCACCAAGCATCTCTTGTAGGAGCTTCTTGTAGTGCTCATCTGACGGATGGTCCCAGATGCTGTCACCTGTTAAATTTCAATATTACTGCCTTTAGAGGGGGATAAAAAAAATCTACTGGAATTAAGGTTTTGGCAATGGCTGCAAGCTGAGAAAGAAACCGATCAAGCACATGTGCGCTTCGGAAGACTTTTCTCTTGTTGCTCGCATTTTGGTCGACGACCGGGTCCTCCATTTCAGGAGTAGTGTTCCTCTGCTAACTCTGCTATGCAGAGGCGTCTGGTGTCTGTGTGTCAGCACCACTGTTTGTAGGCTTTTTCAGCAGATTTAAAAAATCTTTTTCTTGTTTTTCAAAGTCTTTGTTTCAGCAGTTTTTTTATATTAAAAAAATATTTTTCACATTCTTCATTCCAGCAGATTTTTTTTTATGAAAAACAAATATTTCTTTTATTTTTTCAAAGTCTTTATTTCAGCAGACTTTTTTTATAAACTTTTTCCAAAAGTTTTCATTCCAGCAGATATTTTTTTTATAAAACTTTTTTTGTTTTTTGTTTCAAAATCTTTGTTTCAGCAATTTTTTTGATAATTTTTTTTTTTCAAAATCTGTATTTCAGCAAATTTTTTTATAGAAAAAATATTTTTTTCAAAATCTGTATTTCAGCAGCTTTTTTTGTAAAAAAAAGTATTCTTTTTACGTTTTTTCAAGTTCTTCGTTCCAGTAGATTTTTTTAATAAACTATTTTTTCTTATTTTTTCAAAATCTTTATTTCAGCAGATTTTTTTATATTCTTTAAATTTTTCCCAAATTCTTCATTCCAGCAATTTTTTTTCATAAAAAAAACATTTTTTATTTTTTGTTTCAAAATCTGTATTTCCGCAGATTTTTTATTAAAAAAAAAAAATCTGCACAGACCTTTATTTCAGCAAAAAAAAACCGTAATTTCAGATGATTTTTTTTATAAAAAAAAAAACTTTTTTTTTATTTTTTCTGCACAGACCTTTATTTCAGCAAAAAACCGTAATTTCAGATGATTTTTTTATAAAAAAATACTTTTTTTTTCTGCACAGACCTTTATTTCAGCAAAAAAACCATAATTTCAGAGGATTTTTTTTATAAAAAAAATCCTCTGAAATTAGTGTTTTTTTGCTGAAATTAAGGTCTGTGCAGGAAAAAAATGAAAAAAAAAATTTTATAAAAAAACTGCTGGAAAAAAAAAATTGAAAAAAAAATAAAAAAAAGATTTTTTTTATAAAAAAAATCTGCTGGAAAAAAAAATAAAAAAAAAGATTTTTTTTATAAAAAAAATCTGCTGGGAAAAAAAATTGAAAAAACAAATAAAAAACAGATTTTTTTTATCCTCTGAAATTACGGTTTTTTTGCTGAAATAAAGGTCTGTGCAGAAAAAATAAAAAAAAGATTTTTTTTATAAAAAAAATCCTCTGAAATTACGGTTTTTTTGCTGAAATAAAGGCCTGTGCAGAAAAAAATAAAAAAAAGATTTTTTTTATAAAAAAAAATCATCTGAAATTACGGGTTTTTGCTGAAATAAAGGTCTGTGCAGAATTTTTTTTTTTAAAAAAATTTGCTGGAAAAAAAAAATAAAAAAAGATTTTTTTTATAAAAAAAATCTGCTGAAAAAAAAAAAATGAAACAAAAAATAAAAAAAAGATTTTTTTTATAAAAAAAATCCTCTGAAATTAGTGATTTTTGAAAAATTCACACTCTAAAAACGGTGCCAAAAACCCCAAAACACCTGAAATTCATTCAGAATCTAGAGTGCAGATAGCGAATCTGCACTCTATTTTCTGATACAAATTCAGGTTTTGCAGGTTTTCTGCATCAAGATTTAGAGTGTGATTTTTTCAAAAATCACTAATTTCAGAGGATTTTTTTTATAAAAAAAATCCTCTGAAATTAGTGTTTTTTTGCTGAAATTAAGGTCTGTGCAGGAAAAAAATGAAAAAAAAGATTTTTTTTATAAAAAAAACTGCTGGAAAAAAAAAATTGAAAAAAAAATAAAAAAATGATTTTTTTTATAAAAAAAATCTGCTGGAAAAAAAAAAATAAAAAAAATACTTTTTTATAAAAAAAATCTGCTGAAAAAAAAATTGAAACCAAAAATGAAAAAAATATTTTTTTTATAAAAAAAAACTGCTGGAAAAAAAAATTGAAAAAAAATAAAAAAACGATTTTTTTTATAAAAAAAAAATCTGCTGGAAAAAAAAAAAAAATAAAAAAAAGATTTTTTTTATAAAAAAAATCTGCTGGAAAAAAAAATAAAAAAATATTTTTTTTATAAAAAAATCTGCTGGAAAAAAAATTGAAACCAAAAATAAAAAAAAGATTTTTTTTATAAAAAAATCTGCTGGAAAAAAAATTGAAACCAAAAATAAAAAAAAGATTTTTTTTATAAAAAAAATCTGCTGGAAAAAAAATTGAAACCAAAAATAAAAAAAAGACTTTTTTTATAAAAAAAATCTGCTGGAAAAAAAAATTGAAAAAAATAAAAAAAAGATTTTTTTTATAAAAATAATCTGCTGGAAAAAATAAAAATAAAAATAAAAAAAATTTATAAAAAAATCTGCTGAACTATTTTTTTCAAAAAAAAAACCAAAAATGCGTTTATAAACTGATCTGTTGAAACACAGATTTTCGAAAAATAAAAACAAAAAGTATTTAAAATAACTGCCAAAGTAAATGCGCAGCAAAAAAATCTTTCCCTTATAAAATGAATTGCTGGCACTGCTGTAATAAGAAATATCAGAAAAACATGAACATTATTTAAAAAAGGCTGCTAAGGTAAGTTAGAAAGACTATGTAAAATCTGCCAAAGTAAAGATTTCAATAGTTTTAGATTTAACAATAACATTTACCGTGACAAATCTTTCGTGTAAACAAAAAGATGCTTTCTATCAGACAACAAACTGTTTCTTTCACAAAATTCTGCCTCAGGAAATGTCTGCCGATAAAATGTATGTTGTCACATAGAATGACGAGTTTTCTGCTGAAGCATAGTTTTGATTCCGCTATGTTCCTCTGCAGAGAAGATTTCTCCTTATCTTGCAGGCAAGACAAACCGTGTTAAGCTTAAGGCAAAGGACTACGGTCCGGCATTCAGCTGTATGTAAAAACAAAGGCGAGCTTTTTTCTGTTTCAAGTCCTTTTTTCTTGACACACAATGAAGTCAGAAGGAATGTGGCAAGGGACTGCGTAGGAAAAATCAAGCACCAGTCGGGATGCTAAATAGCAGCAAGAAAGCATCACCGGGTATTCCAAGCAGAGGTTTATGATAGATCTGGGACAGAGCTACCTACCCGTGAAAGGACTCAACATGGATGATTGCCTTTAGACGTCAGCACTGTCCAACCAGGCACCTCGTACACAAGCAACCTTCGCAAGAAGCTTAATTTCAGCAGATTTTTTTTATGACCTGAATATTGAAATTTAACACTGTCACCTAGCCGAAATCTTCGGTCAGGAGACTCTTGAAGCGAACAATGAGAACTCATATATCTTCACAGGCAAGGCAAAGCGAATAACAAGACTAACGATAACAACAATGAGTAGATATAGTTTATAGCTTGTAGCCAGCTATGCACATCAGTGCATGCCCTTACGCTTAAAATATCCACATACAAGCTGCTGCAATTGCTCTACTGTCGTTTGTTGACTATATGTTTGTATGTGTCTGACTGTGCATGCGTATTTATTCATGCCTACATAAAGCTATACATAAGTGCGTGTCTCTGGGCTAAGGCAAAATCACATACAACTACGGCCGCGATGTCAGTCCAATAGTCCAATAGGAACACGCGACCAGCAACACAAGAAACACAACAAGTTTCGTTCACTTCTGTTCTCTAAGGGACCATGTACCCAAATAGTATTTACCGTGGGACCAATGTACCTGTATGGGGAATACTTGAAGGTCAACGTGTATACTATTTGGGTACTTGGAAGGGGAGGGGACTTAGTAAGTCGCTCATAAGAAGGGTTATAGTTGGGGTAACTCCATTTAGGGTACTTATAACTCTACTTATGACCTACTTACTAAGTCCCCTGCCCTTCCAAGTACATGGACCCTAAGGGCTTCGAAGTCAAGGCCGACTGATTGGAGATTTGGCGTCAGCTGCCATGGTTACTACCGTCTCTAAGCCCATGTGGAAAGGCAAGGGTCCAAAGGACCCAATAATTGGGTACTCGGTTTTAGGATAGAAGTTATGTAGGTTAGGATTTTGGACTGTATACGATTATTAGGTACTTGGACCCTTGGGGTAAGCCCATGTGGAAAGGCACCTGCATTGACAGTGACAGCACATGTCTCGAACTTCGTACAGATCTGAATGCCTGAAAGCCCTTGAATACTCAATCTTGAGGCTTCCATGTTTGTGGATTTTGGGGCTTGGGCCCCATTGACAACGGCACGCAGGATGGCCGGAGATAGCTGAGTTGAACCCTTCGAGCGAGGCTTGTCGACGCCTGTCTCGAAATTGAAGTAGAAGATGTCATCACCGTTCTCCGTGCAAGCCTCGTTGAGTGCAGGCTCGAGCTCCAATCCTGGCCCCCCAAATACCCTCGGCCGCGTATACTTAAGCATGCTAGATTCATCAACGCAGCAGACTTAACATGAGTTAGGTAGAGTAGACGGGAAATGCTGTCATCTTGAGGGTAGGATAAGACGCCATTGCGAGGTATTCTAGGATTCTACGATCAAGTTGTAGGCTGCATCATGGCTCTTGTCGTCTGAGCAAGTCCCATTGCGCACGATCTCGAAAACGATGCAGAAATGACACACCAGAGTCGCCAGATCGGTCTAAACCTTGAAACCCGAAACAACCGCCTAAACCGCTACAAGTTCCCACAACATCCGTTATAAACAAAAACTACAAATCCCTATGGAACCCGAACATCCGCAAGACCCTCGAAGGCCTTCCAGGGTGCGGGGACTGGAGCAGTCACCCCTTCCCGGGCGATCCACAACAAGTCCTGGGAAGCCAGCGGATGCACAGTGGAGACTCCCCTAATCGAGCCTGGATTTTTTTCGAGCGAACCTATATTTTTAAAAACTAAAGAACTTTATTAAAAAACGAAAAAGATGTTAATAGACTCTATTTGTAGTCTTGTTTCCTCAAGAAGCGAGTTTTCATTAAAAGCCGAAAAGATTTCAAAACCGCTGCGAAATCAAAGGTTCTTCAATGAAAAGTCTACCCATTTTCCAGAAACTTGGGCGAGCTTTTAAAATCTCAGGGTGGGGGTGGGGGGTGTAAGTTGGCCGATGATATAAGCGGACTCTTACGTGAAACTTAAAACAAGAGCAGGATCTGCAACTTCTATAACTCTTGAGCCCTAAGCTCGTATGAGCTAGATGTTAAGCTCCTTGGAATCCCATTTACATGAGTGTTGGGATACTCTTTTTTTGGCTATACCAAGCGCCCGCACAGCAGACTACCACCTTGGTAGCGTGGCTGAAGACATTTTAAAAATGAAATAAAACTGCCACAAAACCGCTTAAAATCTGTTGATAAACAAAATATATACCCGCTGCCGGGGAACCCATGGCTTGATCGGGAAGAAAACCAAAAACCCTCGAAGCGTATGCAGGGTTGGACAGGATTCAAGACCAGGGATTTGACTGCAGTGGCGCCTGATATTTCTGCATCGGATCACGGGTTCCTTTACAACGTTTAAGCTTCTGCATGGGATTTTTGCCGCATCCTTCACTAGACCCTTGAAAAAACCCTAAAGACCTCCGATCCCAAGTTCAAGGTGTAGGGCCTATAGGCTTTTGGGGCCCAAGGGGAGGGATTAGGGCTTAGGGGTCCAGGGATTCACAGCTAAAGGGCATGGGCTCCAGGATTCAAGACTTACGACGCTGACTTCCGGAAATTGTGTAAACGAATCTGAATTGCGGTTTGAGGATTCTCGTCAGTACTTAGGCGTCCGAGAAGGTCTGCAGGATATGCATACAGAACATACATATATAAACATATACATACAGTAGATTATGTGTATACACATATTCATATATCATACATACATATGTATGTATGTATCTTGCCCTGAAGATCCTGTAGATCTGGGCGTTGTAAACGCCAAAGAGTTCCACGCTTCCGGTCCTTCTCCCTGTCGAGATCGATGCCCAAATACTCGGCATATTCAAGGACTTCCTGCAAGGCAGGTCTGGAATCAGCGTAAGGCTCGACTCGCAGACGAATTCTATGCATGCAACACAGCGCACGTCGCTGCGCAAAGCCAAGCAGCAGCAGGATTGTTGGTGCACTTTTTCGGAAGCAAGATGCAGGGGTGGGCTCTTGACAGATTTTTGTTTGCGGGTACCTTATCGACGGGTCCGTATAATTACGGTACTGGCCTGTACTAGCTCGGACATCTTTCCCTAGCCACGAGCTCGTGATCATGAGACATCCCTATATGAGCGCCTGTAAATCAGAAAGGACATGGTTCCTCAATATGAAACTTGCAAGGGGCCATCGTCTGATGATCCATGTCCCGAGGCTCTATATGATCCTCAATCTTGACTGTAGCAAATATGGCTGTAACCTTCTTGTACAACGCACATGAAATCCTTCTCAAAACCGTTGATTGCGAATCCTCCTCGTTGGGAATCCTGTGATCTTCTTGGTCAAGGACGATGACGCCCTTGTTGCCAGAGCCTGTGGGCAGGAAGTGCTGCCCCTGGATCCTCCTAGCACGGCCCCTGGTTAAGCTGAGGAATCAGATCCGCAGCCTCAGGACTTGGGAGTTTCGGAAGACAGCACATCCTCATAGAATCTCAAGGTAGTAGACTTTTCAATTTCAGTACCCCAGATATATGAAGAAAGCTCTCTTTAACAACTGATCTTGAGGCCCAAACTCGAGTTTCTCTCCCCGTTCTTGTCGCCCGAGCTTTCAGGTCTAGGGTTTAGGGCTTCGGGAGTTTAGGATTGAAGGCGTTTAGGGATTGGGGTTTAGAGCTTCCAGTTTAGGACCGGATTGGGGGTGTTTAGGGTTTGGGGGTTGATACTAAAGCTTCGGGAGGTTGGGGTTTAAGGGTGTAGGGCTTCGGGCTTTAGGGATTCGGGAGCTTAGGGTTTAAAAGTTTGCAAAGGAGTTCTGTGCGATATGCATGATATGCAGCTGCATTCGAACACGCCTTCCGGTAGTCGGATGCTTGGTGCATTGTAAATCTTTCTTCGCCCGGCCTTCAACCCGAAACCCTTTCTAAGAGTACAATAAACCCCATAAAGTTGGAAACTGCACTAAGGCCAAATAGTGCGGGGAGTCCCTATACATTACTCTTAAGGATGGAGGCTCGGGGGTTTCCAACTTTTGGGATTCTACTGTAAGCTCTGGCAGTCTGGAGCTCTCCAAATGTAGGTAGTACTATTACTTGGAGGATCATGGGACTTAGCAAGTAAGGTTATAAGTACCTGAATTGGGGTTATAAGTAGTTATAAGTAGAGTTACCCTAATTATATATTGAGGGTCTATTTCCCCAAGGGTCCCCCTAATCCTAACTCCCAACATGAACTCAGCTTAGCCCAAACCTTTTCAGACTCAAAAGAGTAAACAAAAACCAACCACGACATACACAAAACGTAAGAGGACAACAAAACAACATTGTAAACCAAGACAGGTTAATCTTAAAATATTAAACCTTCAACCGTAAGCCCCTCAAGTGACACGCAATGTTACTAAAGAGTCGACTTTAACCATCTCTGAACCTACTTTCTTGTAAATCCCAAACCCTGAACGCTACACCCTAAACGACCCCAAACCCTTAACCGCCTTAACCCTAATCCGCTTAGAGCCCCCTTAACAAAATAATGAACAACAACAAAAACAAATAATAACAGGCAACAACACACAAACAAACAAAATCAAACAAAAAGAGCCCCCTAAAAGGTCCCCTTAGAGGACCCTTAAGAAGGATCCCTTAGAGAGACCGCCTGACTTCGAGCCTAAACCCTAAAGCCTACACCCTAACCCTAAACCCTAACCCTAAACCCTAGCCTAAACCCCAAAACCCTAAACCCTAAACCCCAAAACCCTAAACCCTGAACCCCTAAACCCTGAACCCCTAAACCCTAAACCCTGAACCCCTAAACCCTGAACCCCTAAACCCTAAACCCTGAACCCCTAAACCCTGAACCCCTAAACCCCAAAACCCCTAAGCCCTAAGCCTGACTTCGAGCCGCCATCGGAGCCCTCAGAGTCGCTGCCCTCTGCCGGCGCCATGGCCGCCGACGCTTTGCTCTTCGTCGGTAAGGGAAGGGGGGGGAAGGAGGGGAAGGGAAGGGGGGGAGAGGGGGGGTGGGTTTAGGGTTTAGGGTTTGGGGTTTGGGGTTTGGGGGTTGGGGGTTTGGGGGTTTGGGGTTTGGGGTTTCGGGTTTAGGGGACATGGCGGTGGTCGGGCTGCTGTATGGGTTTATGGAGCTGCTGCAGTTTTTGTAGGGCTGGTCTGCGTTTTGTAGGTTAGATGAGGTTGGCGGGCCTTGAAAGTTTCCAGGGTTAGGGTGTACAGTGTAGAGTTTGCGCAATTTCAACCGGAGTTGACGTGGTGCGGTGAGTGGTGTTGCGCTTTTGGAATCGAAGTCTGATTTCTTTCAACACTAAAGTCTCATGGGCTATAAGATGAAAGTATGTTTTTTGCTTTCGCACAGGGCGGCGCAACGGGTTTTAACTGCAGAGTTTCGGGTTTGGGCTTACTGCGGTTGGTTGGATTTTTTAGTTTCGATGCATCTGTAGTCTTCAATTCCTTGTGCTCTTGTATACTTGTATTCGACTTCGTAAAGCCGAAAAAAGATCTTGCGGAGGCTTGGAAAGCCATACATTAGGTGACACACTTGCTGGAGTCTTGAGCCACAAGTCGACCTTAGCAAATGGCAGGCTTAGGCGTTGATCTTCTGTGCTGCCAGCAACTAGCGAACCTGCAACACGGGTGCTCTATGCGGCCTTTGATCATACACTGTCATACACAATCCGTGCCCCAAGTCAGCCCTCCAACAGCCTTGTCCGCACGGCACTCTAGATAGCAGAACAAGCATCACCAGAAGCCAAACATGCTGCACAACCCCTACGCAAGACACCTTACGGAACATATTAGTTGTCTCATGAAAGGGACAACATGTCTCCTCAGGTTGCAGGAACATGAGCCCCAGCATGGTGGAGGTGAAGTTCTTGTCGCCGTCGAGGGTGCTCTCGTGTGGGAGGACCTGCCGGGGCTGCTGTGTTCAGTGCTTATATAGAGTCTTTGAGTACGTTTAGGGTTTAAGGGTTCAGAGTCCTTAGAGCTTGCAGTAGGAACCAGAAGTCTGGCACGTTGGTCTCTCTGAACTCTGGAACTCGATTCGGGACGAGAGCAGCATCATAATACGGTTTGGGAATGTTAATCAGCGAACACGGACCCAGGTCTGAGGTGTCATCGCGCCTTGTACTGTGTGAGGAGCCTCGGCTGCATGTCCAGAACGGGGACTTTCAGCGACTTTCATGCGTTCAGGTTAGGGCTTGGGATCCCAAAGGGTCCTAGGTACTGTTATGGGGAATACTTCCCCAAATCATAATAGTAATTCCTAACATAGAAACCCTACATTCTACCATAAAGGTACTTTGGACCCTTTGGGGATAGATTGTTTCGGGATGAAGGGGTTTAGGGGATTTGGGGGTTGAAGGCTTTGGAGTTCTCGGATTTACTCCCGATGCAGAAGCTGCCTGTGTTTTAGGGTTTAGGGTTTAGGGTTTAGGGTAGGCCCCACTCCACTGCTCATGGTACAGCAGAGTAGTAGCGGCATGCTGGTACAACGACCATCTTATCTTATAGTCATCATCGTTGTGGGTGCCGGCCGAACTAGCTAAATTTAAACTTGTTGTGCAAGCGGATAAACAAACGGCTACGACAATCTGCATACGAGAGTTAGCTTGGCTTATAGGTCCGTTGAGATACACATCCGTCTGATCGAAATCTCGTTGCCTGCTTTCGGACTGTTGATCTCGAACAGTTTCAGAAACGAGCATCTATACATGTGCGTGTAAACTATATATACATAAACTTAACAAGCATACATCTAAAGAAAAAACAACGAATTTAGGACATGTCCATGTCACTCTGATGCACCATTGTATTTTCTGAAAATGATATCTACTCAAGCCGAAGACCACAACACGTAGACGAAAACCCAAACCCCTCCGATGCAGCAAGGAAGCTTCATCAACAGAGATTTCTGCTCCATCAAGGAGAACTTGTCACCAAGGCAGCGACGAGGTCCTGCAGCTGTTAGGTCGCCTCTTTCGAAACAGGGCGGACGGGGGGGATTCACTGGTTCACCGGTTTAGAGATGTCTTGAGGGCTTCCGGTTGAGGATGGGGCTCGAGAGTTTAGTTTGCGCCGAGCTTCGAAGGTATCGTTTGATGGCGGTTTAGATCTGGGCTGGAGGTTAAGGATTCAGGTTTTCTGCTGCCCACGGAAATGAAATCATATTAGGGAGTGCAGTTCCCAATGCTAAAAGACCTACAAACCCTAAACATATCCACTGTAAACCCTTAGAAAACCGCCGACCACCCACCCTTCCGGGAAGTCCTCAGGCCAGTGTAGTCGAGACCCGAACACTTCCCTTCGAAAGACCTCCCCTGCCTATGCAACTCTATGCACATAACTAGTTGTCGCGGGGAATGTTCCAAATGTGTAGCTTCAGGGTTGAGGATTTCTTGAAGGATAGGGAATTTAGGCTTAATGTTGATATAGGGTTTGCAGGAACGAAGTCACGCTGGTTGCGAAAATCCTTGTGCTGATTCTCCTAGGGCCAGAAAAACTGAAAGGCAGTGGACTGGAATTCGGGTTTTGGTGTACAAGCCCTTTAAGGTAAAAGCCAGAAAGTTGGAATATAATTATCCTAAGCCCTTTATGGTGAATTATAGGGTATCCTACCCTGAAACCATATTCCAACTTTCTGGAGTTCCCTTTAAGGGATTTCAGTTTTAAGGTTTTGGGCTTCGGGATGCGTGGGGTTTAGGGTATAGGGCCATTTCAGAGTCTGTGTTTGGCATCCTGTACTTGGAGGTTCATGGGTAGTTATAAGTAGGGATATAAGTCCCCTGATACCGGTCATAACCATAGTTGTTCTACTTATTGAACCGGCAAGTAGGCGCGTCGGAGCTGCAGCTACTGAACCCTTCGCCCCGGACAATCGCACTCATTCCGGACATGGACCCCGTGAGCACCCCAAAGCCCGATCGGCGAGGCCCCAAGACCCTGTAGCAAGTATCCTGAACACCAAGCAAAATCCTGAAACGCTTGCCCGTTCACTCTATTATAGAACCCGTAGATACATATGAGCCCCATAGAATCCTAGGAGGACCCAAAGAACCACATAAGAACCTTATTCTAAGAACTTCGTTAGTTTCAGCTCCAGGCTGTGAGCTTAGATACACGCGCCCAACACATTGAAACGAAAGCAGCACACAGCTACATAAGCCCACTACTTGGAGGTTCATGGGTAGTTATAAGTGGGTTATGAGTCCCCTGATATAGGTTATAATCATAGTTATCCTACTTATAACTACCCATGAACCTCCAAGTAATCAACCCAAACCCCAAACCGTCCGCTCCTGCCGAGAAAGGGAGGTTGTGGAACACCCGGGGCTGCCTGGAAGGTGGGGCTCTGGGGACACAATACGGGGGTCTTCATCCGTCGAATCGGGTCCCTTTACAGGTTGTTCAAAGGGCCCTATAGGGGTTTCTAGAAAAGCCCTGTCATATTAAAGGGCCTTACTGCGCTTTGAATCTCTGTTGTACTATACTAGTAACAGGGACCTGAAGGAACAAGGCCTCTAAATCGAGAGTTCGCGCTTACGGTTTGCCGGACTTCTGGGCTTCCGGGCTCGGGGCTTGAGAGGTGTGGAGACTTTTATGTTTCAGGCTTCTTTGTGCGGGATGTCTCTTGACTTACCCTGCTGTTCTTGGCTTGGGTTCTAGAGGCCATGCAGGATTCGGATGCACCCTGAGACCATGCTGCTACCTGGAAAGCGACATTCTTTACAGAATCCACTCCCCCTAGCTGTAGAATATGAAACGGGCTACGATCACTCTTGAGGGATCTTGCTTCTGCTTTGGCACTTGCTTCCACGCTGGCTTTTGTCCCGGGCTGGTTTGTCTTCCAGGTGCTGCTGCGTCTCTTGCCCCTGCTCTTGCTGTCGTTCCTGCTTTTTGCTCTTGCTTTTGCTCTTGCTTGTGCTCTTGCTTGTGCTATTGCTCTTACTCCTGCTCTTGCTTTTGGTCTTGCTCCTGCTCTGTATAGTGTTGAATGGTCTGTTGCTTCTAGTATGTACCTAAGAAAGTATGTATGTCTGTGTACATATATCTACATATACATACATAGATACATACATACATACATACATACACACATACACACACACATACATACATACATACATACATACATACATACATACATACATACATACATACATACATACATACATACATACATACATACATACATACACACACACTACATACATACATACATACATACATACATACATACACACACGCATATATATATATATATATATATATATATATATATGTATGTATGTATGTATGTATATATATATATATATATATGTATATATATATATATATGTATATATATATATATATACACATATATATACACACACCCAAGGAAACGGGATCCTACCTGCTCATAGCTACGAGGACTCACTGCTACTACACCGTTTATAATTCGACAGGGTTTTTGGGGGGGGTTTTGTATGTTGTGGTACAAATACAACAGGGAACCGGGAGCCCCTAAACCCTAAACCCTAACCAAAAGGGAATCGGAAGCCCTAAAGAAGACTATTGAAACATATTCCAAATCCAAGTGTCTGAACTGCAAGAAGACCCTGTTCGGAGGCTCTGAGCGCCGCACTTTTCCTGGAGGAACCGCTCCGGGTTGAAGTCTTCAGCTTCCCCCCAAACCTGTGGAATCGACTTTTTGGGCTTAGAATTTGCGTTGTCGGGTCTGGAATTATAAATTTGGCTTTCAAGTAAGCAGGGAGAAAAAAGTATAAACTTTTATTTCATAATAGTTCCTTTTAAGACAAAGAATTAAACCAGTAAAGTATGGTACCCCAAAGCCCAGGAAAAACCAGTGAAGGGTCCGACAACCCTGAGATTAGGGGCCATAGGCTTCGGGACGCTTTGGGGCTGTCAGCTGCAGCAGATGTGTAAAGTCAGTCTCAGTCTGTCCGTCTCCCTCTCGCGGAGCAGCCTGGCAAAGAAACCCAGGCCTTTGGAATTACCTACTGACAGAATGGTGAAATGGGGACTGTGCGGATGTACTATTGTCTCCTCCACTTTCAGGGAACCGGGGTTTGGGCATCCATGTCTTTCTCTTTGTCGTTCTCTCTCTGGCCCTTTCTCTCGCTGCGTCGACATAGAGAGCGAGAGAGAGAGAGAGAGAGAGAGAGAGAGAGAGAGAGAGCGAGCGAGAGAGTGATAGAGCCAATGTCATGAGCACACCCCCCTCAGATGTACACGCCCGGACAAACAGATCGGCGACAAAGGCTTGGCCATGGGGAACCGAAGCAGAAACTTACCTGAGACCGAGGTTTAGATCTTAGGGCTGGCAACAGACCCTCGTCCCCACCCAGCAGCCCTATGACCGTGGCCATGGGCGGGCCTCTGGATGCTTGTTGATGGCTGCGATGTGCAGTGCAATTCCTGCAACATGCCCACCGAAATCCAAATCATGAAGCCCAGAAACAATATGAGCCGACAAACCCTACTAGACACCGAATATATAAATATATCCCACGAGCCCAACACCACAACTCTCAAGTCCTAGGAGTTCAGCTGAAATCGGATGGTAGTCAAGCGGGGCTGGGCTCCCCCAGCAAGCACTTCTGCACCAAAGACTCATGACAAATCTAGCTTGACAGGCCCGACATGCTCCAACCCACAGCAAGCATTGACCTACATATGCATCTACTCTGGGAGAGGACATATAGTGTCATCTGACTATGATTACAGTACAATGGGCACCAAAACCCTATTCTAATTATGACGGCCCCTATATCAGAGTACCGCTTATGATGGATTCCTTATGGTAAAAATTTAAGGACCCCTTTGAAGGAACCCTAGTCTGATGCTTGAGGCCCCTATAGCAAGCTTGGTGCAGTTTGGGGCAGCTTTCTGGGCCTGTGCCCTTCGGAACGAAGACGCCGTCGAGCTCGGTGTCCTCCGAAAGTCTCCAAGCTCGCTTTTGTTTATGGTTGGGGCGGGGGTTATGGTCTTAAGGTTTTAAGGTTTAGGGTTTTAGGGTTTAGGGTTTAGGTGTTAGGGTGTTAAGGTTTTAGGGCTTTTAGGGTTTAGGGTTTGGGGGTTTAGGGTCTATCGGGTATTCAGAGTCTTGCGTTAGAACGGCTTGAACTGAAGGCTTTGCACACGTTTTTATGAGGGTTTGGTGGGGCATGTATGGTCGTCTTGTGTTGTTGCTGGGTTCCGGTTCGAGGTTCACAGCTCCCAACAAAACGACCAAAGTCAAGCCACATCACCACAAAACCATAAACTCCGAACCCGAAAAAAACAAAGGCAACGGCACCCATTGCACCAGCCGGACGAAGCTTAAGCCAATGACATCCTCAAAACAAACCAGACGAAGCTCTAAGCCACAGCCTGTAATGAACTTCCCACCACAAAACAAAACAATCCCCTGCAGACGGAAGCCCTCGAATCCAGCGAGCACTCAATGCACCAAACCCCCAGAAGGCCGGAACATCCTGAAATGGCCCTAGGTCATAAACCCCAGGCTCTGAGACCCGAACCCTACGCCCCGGCCGTGAATTTTAGAATAATGAGTAGGTACCTCGATGGGACCATAACGGAATTTTAGTAACTGGAACTTTGGGCCATTTCTGTAAATCTCAACTCTCAGGACGATAACTTGAGTAACCCATCGTTCCACTTTTGAGTATCCAACTATTCTAAGTGGCTTAAACCCTAAAAGCGAAACGCCAAGCCCTTACATATACCCTGAAACCCCAGAAACTGCAACCGAAATCCCAAAACCCTAAACCCTGGACCCTGCTGGCTCTATAGGGGTTTAGGGTTGGGGCTCTTGGGGTTGAGGGTTCAGGGTTTAAGGGTTAAGGATCCAGGATTTAGAGTTTAGGTTTTGGGGCTTTGAGGGCACCCTTATAGTACCCTTATAGTAACCCTTAAACGAACTCAAAGGTTGTCTTCTCGAGTGCCAGCCGAGAGACGTGGGCCGCCTGTCGAGTGTAGAGATTGAAGACGGGCGGGCGCACGCGGAGGCCTCGACGTACCCAAAGAGCCTACTATACGGGCCTTATGAGTTCAGAATACTGTAGGGTTCTAGATCTACCTTATAAGGATGGTACATAAGTTTAACGGGGTGGCTATACCCAAAGAGCCCAATACCCCTTAAGTAAGGAATATGGCTTAAATTATATCGGGCTTCATATTATGATTTAAGTAAGCTATATTCCTCAATTAAGGGGTATTGGGCTCTCTGAGCACTATAGGGCCTACTATCGGGGCCTTATGAATTCAGAATATTTTAGGGTCCTGATATACCTTATAAGTATAGTCAGGACCCCTCAAGAGCACTAGTGCTGACTATTCAGGCTTCTGAATTCTACGCTAGAGTACTCGGAGGGCCGCAACAAAAAAGGGGGCAGAAGCCCAACGAAGAGGCTGTTGGGTATCACCACATGACTGACAGAGTATATGTATGAAATCATACCTGCAGGGTCACATGTATGTATATGTATAGACATGTGTATGTATATATATATATATATACATATATAGTTTTACACATTCAGATAGGTAGATCTACAATGAGTTCGGGACCTCAATTCCTACGGTTTGCGAACTTGGACCCTGGGTTTAAGCCTTTAAGGTTTTAGAGCTTCAGGGCTTAAAGGCTAACGGCTTGAACCAGAGGATGAAAGAGAATCGGAATCTCTGAACCGACGAAACCCTAAGCCGGATAGTCGCTCGACGCGAGCAGCTGGGGCCTTCGTTGATGACAGCAGACAGATACGGCACGTTCTCCATGTCCTGGAAACAAGAACTCAAAGAAGTGTGATGGGTGATGTTTTTAAACCATGCATCAACATGTGTATATACATATACATATATTATGATACTGTGTGTGCGTGTGTGTCTGTGCATTTAGTTATGTCTGTATGTATGTATGTAGCATGTGAGGGTATGTGTCTTTATGTATATGCATCTACATAGATAGGCATGTATATATATATATATATACAGGTGTGTACACACGTGCACACATTCATGCATGCATACATACATGCAGAAAACATGCATAAATACATACATGCATAAATTTTGCATTACATTCAGACATACATACATACATACATCGATGCCTGCCTGCCTGTCTGCCTGCCTGCACATGTTTGCAAATTATGTGTGTGTAAACAGAAAACATAGATCTACGATATACTCATACACGTACAAATACCCACACACACACACATGCATGTTAACATATGGGTGTGTATACACATGCAGACATATATATATATATATATATATATATATATATATATATATATATATATCAACGAAGTGCATACATGCGTGTATACACACGCGGATACATGATACATACATAGATATTTGTTTTCACACACACACACCAGTTCCTACAGCCTGTATACATATACATATACATATACATATATATATATATATATACACATACACACACACACGCATATGTATATATATATATATATATATATATATATATATATATATATATATATATATATATATATATATATATATGTATGTCGGTTTCTAGGTATGTGTGTGTCTTGATGTAAGATATTTTGTTTATTCTGTATGTACGCATGTTTGTATGTATTTAAAGAACTGGCCGCAGGTGGTAACCCCGCGAACACCCCGCTTGCCATCCTCGGCGGTGGGATCTTTCCGACCGGCCAGAATCTTCTGAGCCTCCCGGGAGCTGAATCTTACGGTTTAGGGTTTAGGGTTTAGGGTTTAGGGTTTAGGGTTAGGGTTTAGGGTCTACATGTATCTCCAAACCCCACAAAATAGTATATAGGTTATGATCCCTTAATTTGGAGCTGAATCTTGCGGTTTGGGGTTTACCTATAGTCTCCATTGGAGTTCCTTTTTTTGGCTTAACCAATTATGTATTAAGGATTCTAAACGGTAAGCCCAAAAAGGAACTACACTGGAGACTACAGGTAGGGTCTACATGTATCTCCAAACCCCACAAAATGGTAGGTTATGATCCCTTGATTGGAGCGTCGAACCCTTAAAACGGTAGGTTTTTGAATCCCCAGGTAGGGTTTAGGATTTAAGTTTTAGGGGTTTAGGGTTTAGTGCTCCGGAAATTTGGGACTTGGTAATCTAGCACTCTTAAGGTTTCGGGCTCAGTGATTTATGGGGTTTAGGGTTTATGGGACTTCGTACTTTGAGACTTATTTACAAGGGGAGGAACTTGGCTTTCGAACTTTGCAATTGAGGATTCAGCATTTATGGTTTAACGGGCGAAACACAACAAGTGAATCAATACTCCCATTTCCAGGGCCTGGGGAGAAGGGCTGTAAAGTGCTTTCCTTTATGTTCTTATGAAGGTTTCATGGGGTCGATTATCACTCGGGGCTCCATGATTGTCTCAGTTTTTACATTTTTGCAGGTGTCGGTGGGGGTTGGGTGGGGGAACTTTAGTACTGGACGGCAAAAATTGCAAATAATTCAGACCTCTACATGGGCGTTTCCGAAATTTAGGGGTACCGTATTTTGGGGTCCTTAAAATGAGGATCCGACTATTAGGGTACCATATAAGGATCCCCTAATTTTCGGAAACTCCCACATGAAGGCAAACGGCTTGCCGGTCCTGTCTGGCTGCTAAGGGGTGCTTCGGCTCCCGCAGCGGTTCTAGGGCTTAGATTATTTTGTGGTTTAGGGTTTAGGGTTTGGGGCTTGGGGTACTGTAGGACTTTTTTCCGGGTGCGGCTAGTGAGGATAGGGACCTTAAGAATTAGAATAGGCTAGGGTCTGGGAATCCTTTATAGTATAGTTGCAAAAAGGAGCCCTAAGGAATAATATTGGTAATTATTTAAGCTTCTATAGTACCCTAGAAGCTCACTTGAGCGGCTTTGGGTTCAGGGGTTTATGCAAGAAGACAGTTCCCACAGTACAGGTAGACCATGAACTAGCCAAAACTAACAAGACCCAGCTTACTGCACCGGTCACTGGAAGCCCAAGGATTCTTAAAGGCCGTTGTCCGTCGTGAGAACCCTCGGCAAGACGATCAAACTCAGAAGCCAAGATCGTTGATGATCACGGGGCTGGGGAGTTTAGCTTCGGAGGGCTTAAAAGGTGGGATGAAGGTAGGTAGGATTAAGGATCCCTTATGTAAGGACTCTTATATGGGAATATCCCACCTACCTTCATCCCACCTTTTGGGGCCTCCGATAGATTCGGTTTAGGGTTTAGGGTTTGCGGCGTAGGGTCTGGATGTTCCGGGTTGTTGGGTTTCAGCTTTGGGGTTTCAGGGTGCTGCACCCTAAAGAGCTGAACTGAAGCAAGAGCCATGGCCTCTTCTCGAGCTTTCTGCTGGACCTCAGGGTACCTGCCACAACGTCCGAGGTTGAGGGCTTTCAGGGTTCAGGGACTAGGAGTTCGGGGACAATGGCCCAAGACATAAAGGGAGAATCCGGCCAGAACCTACTGGCACGACAGCAACTATCCACACTTCAGGGACGTGAGTGTCTACCATTGTAGACATGATTTGATACGTAGCTGCAACCCTACATAAAGCTAAAGCCCGAAACCCGAAACCCAACAGGCAAGCTCAGCATTGCCGCGCGGCCTCTACTAGACCCTGACAAGTACTACATGTTGTGGGTTAATCTGTCTTGCAATTAGGGCCCCCCATAATCAGAACGTAGGAAAATGCCAACTACATGGAGAGCAGTGGCTTGGTGCACGTGTACTGTTTGAACCGGGCGTTGGTTCTGGGTGAGTGGGCATTAGGCCCTTTCACGGCAAATCTTGCCACCAGCAATGCAAAACCGGTATAAACATCACGGCAGTTCCAGTTAACTTGGGGTCTTATAGCCAGTGGCTAATCTTTCAGCTGTCTAAGTTGCACCGCGAGATGATGATGATGGTGATGATGATGATGATGATGTTGATGATGATGGATCCAGATTCAAACCACATGTAAGGGACCACTGATAATTATGCTGAGGTCCTGGCCAGAATCAGAAATCGTATAGAACCCGTTTGGACAGTTCTCGAATCTTGCTGGAATCTCTTTGGAACCCAGAACCTGTGCAGAATTCTTCTATAGTGATGGGATGTGATGCCTTTAGACCCCTCAAGTACACGAATGCCGCAGAGCCACTTTGCGAGGAAGTACATCTGCCAAGCCAGAGAGACCGCAGTGGTATCCTCGGGATAGACACAGTTGAACGTTTACAGTTTAGGCTCACCCTGTGCTCTTTAAACCCTATGCGATTTGAGACACTTCAAGCGATATGAAAGTGAAGCTGAGCACGGGGTTGCGGCGGGAGCACCATTTCCCAAAGCCCTCCCAAATGCACAACAATATGGTGCTAAGTATGGCATTCCAGACTAGTTCAGCGTCCGCGGCAGGGGACTGCCGCGAGAACCTGCTTGTAGTAGGCGTTAGTGGAAAAGCGTGCTTCCTTCACGGTGCGGATTTTGGCCTACATGAAATTACAGCAAGATTTTTAACTGCTAGCGATATCAAACTCCCCGTAATGTCAGTCCCCCTACATCTACTCAAAAGTCTAGAACAACCCCAGATGAAGGAAGCGGGCTGAACCAGCCTTTGTAGTAGCCAAGTGCCGCATAAAGCTTTAACAGAGGAGCCGCCGTGGTCCCTAGCACTGGGTATTCGGGGCAGAAGCTCCTACTCCCCTGCCGAAATCCAAAAGTCCGAAACCGCACAGCCCTGGATTTTCCAGAGGTTCTATACACGAAGACCCGGAAGCCAAGCTCACCGCGCCCAAAACTCTCCGCTCTAAAGCCCACAATGAAACCCTTCTGAAACTCTTATGAAACGATGCGAAACCCGTGTAAAACCTCAATGTAGAGCCGGCAGGCGTGCCCGGCAAGGAAGAATATCCACAGCATCGGCAGCAACGCTCCCTCCTTCGGCAGAACTCCTCCGCAACCGCAGAATATGCTTTGGGGTCTTGGGTTCAAGGTCGACTCTCAAGGGGGTTTTCCGTTTGCTATGTTTGTTTTGTACGACATGTTGCTGTAGGGTTTGCAAGGTCCTTCAAAGTCTTAACGGGCTTTAGAAGGGCTCAGACGATTAGCTACAGGGGCTCATTGAGTTCAATATTCCTTAGTAAAAGGGCGGATCTTCAAGGAACCCTACTATGACAATGAGGACCTCTCCATAATTACGCGGTTTTTGGTGTCTCTCCTTCGATGGTCAAGATCCGTTTCCCTAACCCCTAAGCCCCTAAACCCCTAAACCCCTAAACCCTAAACCCTAAACCCTAAACCCTAAACCCTAAACCCTAAACCCTAAACCCTAAACCCTAAGCCCTAAACCCTAAGCCCTAAACCCTAAACCCTAAACCCTAAACCCTAAACCCCTAAACCCCTAAACCCCTAAACCCCTAAACCCTAAACCCTAAACCCTAAACCCTAAACCCGAACCCCCTCAAAGGTGCTTGTTGTCGTAGGGACTCTCATAGCACAACTTCGAGGAGTTCGAGCTGCTCTATGCTTTGCTTCGGAGGGGGGGGGGTGTGGGGGGCGGGGAGGAGGGTCGGGGTGGGGGGGGTTGGGGGGTGGGTGGGTGAGTGGGTGGCTGGGGTGAGGGTTCTTGCTATCTATACTGAACTTAGAACCCTAGCAAAAAATTGAATTTTAGCTGTTTCTTAGGGATTGTAATAAAAAAATAAAACTATTTCTAAGTACCCCTAAGCTATGGCTAGGTCACTGACTTTATGATTTCCCTACAACTAGCTCTGAATTTCACCTCGGATCATCTCGGCTGTGGGCCTGCACCAAAAATGGCCCACACGTGCCACGTCCAACTGCTGCTGACATCATCCCCAGCGGGCTTTTGTAACCGAGATGATTTGATATAATACACATGGACTATATATAAATGTGTAGTTGGGTAATCTCCAGATCTGGGGATATGCTTCTTTCTAGTCTCAAGATATAACCATCTAGATACTTGCAAGATATTTGCGACGCTTGCCCGGTGCGTGGCCTCACGGTGCATGAATTCGGATGTAACCCTAACCCTGACACCCTGATCCTGACAAACAACCAAACAACATCGGAGCACGAGCCAAAACTCTCCATGCTAGGAGAGATTATTGTATTCGAAACTACATCTAAAACAATGCATACACAGCCATATGCTAGCTAGCATAAGCTACCCTCAGACCTTGTTCGATTCATCCTAGGCCTGCTTCGTTGCGACCCGCTGCCCTCTACAGCCGAAACCCTGTGCTGACTGCATCCGCGCACCATCTTTGGGCACGTCCACGCCCGGTCCGAGCCTAGGTTGTGACCCTAGCAACTCAGCTACCTACATCGTGCAATGCTGCACGATGGTAACTGCGTCAAGGCAATGCAGAGTTTAGGCGTCTGAACAATTACGAATAACATACCGTTGCAGTCCCAACCCTTATTCTGATGGTTAAAGCTGTAATATTAATCTTCACCTTCGCAGCTCAGAAAAGGTGGAACTTGAAGAGGTTGCTTCTTTTCAACCTGTAATACGAAAAGCAAATAACCACAAATAACTGGCATTCAGGGTCTATGTGTAGGTAGTATTGGGCGCTCGTCAATAGTTTCAATAGGGTTTGGGGCATAATACGGTACAGACACAGCCACGAACACTGAGAAGCAAGATCGCAATGACTCCTGCGCCCTATTGTTCAGGTCGAGGTTCTCCAAAAATCCCTTCTTGCTACAAACAAATCCATCCCTCTTCCCGATTCAGCCCGGAGCCCCGACAAGTGGAAAGGGCATGCCCCTAAACCCCAAACCCTGAAACCCGAAACTAAGGGTGCTAGTGGCAAATTGAGAGGTTGTAGTCTTAGAACCAAAATGTCGTTAGTTTCTTGGAGATTACTGATAAATCTTGCTAGATGTCAGCAATTCGTACGATCACCAAAGTAGTACCGAGTCCAAGTTGAGGGCTTCGAGGAAACAGGGCTTGCAGGGCTTATCGTAATTTAGCTTAGGACTTAGGGCCTATTTGGCTAAAGGGGCCCTTCGGGTTTAGGGTGTAAGGTACAGAACTTCGGAACTTACATGATGGATGCTGCCGGGGTGCAACATGTCAAGCATGTCCTGTGGCTCGTCCGAAAGAGTGCCCGCTGCCTGCTGGTCCTGAAACGCGGTTTTAGGGTTTAGAGGGTTTAGAGAGGCTGGGGTTGTCGATGAGGGATTCAGTTGACGTCCCTAGCTGATTGCACATCTCAGGCGCTTCGACTTCAAGTATATCCCTAAATCCAGCTCCTGACCGGGACCCTATGACCTATGGACCTTAATACGCAGACTCAGGTTTCGGTCCTTGTTATTGATCGTCTGCTTATATCGGGACAGCACGGGGTCATGTTTACTATAGTTGTTACGACCCGCTCCGGCAAACACTCAAAGCCAGACCCCCGGAGATGCAAACTTTACTTGTCCAGTATTTGGGGAGTTATCGAGCCAGCTTCGGGATTATGTAGGCGTCCATCAAGGAAACCCTAAAAGGGTCGACGATGGTCACAGGCTTAGAAGGTTACCTACTCTACTACGAAGTAGCCGCCTAGATCGAAGTCCGGAACCACGACTGCGCCCGCGCCTTACGCAGCTGCACACGAGCATCTATTGCGCCTGCTCTCTTCTCGGGTTAAGGATCACAAGAGTTCAGGGTTTTTTCCAGGTTCGCAATGTGAGAGTAGACTGACTTCAGCGAGTAAGGTGTCGGGGGGCTGTGGTATAAAAAAACCATCGATACTGTTCGATGTCAGTGGGCCGAGCAAGTCCTTTTCAGTGGCCCTTTCGAGCAACCGGCTTCAATACAACGAGCTTGAAACCCCGATGACACCACCTAGATCCAAAGTCCCAAATCCGCTAACCCTGCAAACCCTAAAGAACCCCAAAGCCCAAATCCTAAAAAGCCTAAACCCGTCAGAGAATCCCAGCGGTCATGGTCGGAGACTTTAGTGTGTAGGGTGGCCATGAATTTCTTGAAGAGACAACAGAAAATCGCTTAGAGTGATGCTGGATAGCTGATGCTACTTGTACAAACAACCAAAGGGAATTGTTGCAATGCTGATGCTGCTGCTGCACTGACTCTTCGACAGATGCCCCGCAGAGAAACGAAACCGCCGCTGTTGGCGGTTCGGTTCAGGGTTTGGGGCGGTTGGGGCGCTTTTGCGCTTGGGGTGCAACAGTACTCGTGATCCTGGCTTGTAGCAGACAGGCTGGTTGATGGCGATTCCCCGTTTGTATTCCAGCATCTCAGTCTTCTCCACCGAAATCTACAGCCGACAAGGAGTACAGGACGAAGGGATCGGCAAACCCCAAACCCGAAACCCCAACATGAGGGTGTAGTGTCCGGGTTAATTCGCATGACGCCCTTGGATGGGCTAGATAATTTAAACTTACATACAGTACAGGGCAGGACTAAAATGGAATAGCATGTCGTCAACTGAGGGTTGACGGTTTATCCAGAGACTTCACCCCCAAAAACCAAATCACGAAGGAATATGCCATAACATTCCTTAACGTCTTTAGCCTACATGTCATGCCTCTGTCCCCTACATCCTGCACTCAGTTGCAAAAAAAACGTTCGAAACCTTGATATACGAGTTTCAGAAAGCACCGGGCCTCGGTTCATATAGGACTCTAAAAAATAGGATCCTCATCGGAGGCACCCCGAACACCCATATCTCGCTTCACCCAGCCTTGCAGGACGCCATGCATGTGATGCACCGCCTCCCTGGCGCAAAGCGCTTCGAGCTTTAGTGTTTAAGGCTCTGTGGTCTAAAACATCGGGTATGCAGGGTCTAACAGATGGTTTATGGAGGGTTCAGCAAGGCGCCGTTACTTCGACGAGTCGAAAGCAAGAATCGAAATCGTAACACCCAAGCTTACAGGGCAAGGACGAAACGCTGCACACAGACCCTAGACCTAAAAGTTCGATCTCGTAAGGCCCATCTGGAGAAGCCCCTGAACCCCACATAATAGAGCCTACCCTACAATCCCACAACTTAGAGCCCCAAAACCCTAAGGCCTCACCAACGAAGCCCTAACCCGAAGCCCTCCATGCCCCTTGGCCCAAGCCCTAATACGCCCAACTTGACAACACAAGGTCTCGGAGGGTCCTCATGCGACGATTGCGAGAGGTTGGGAGGCGCTCCATGAAGGGGAAGGACATGTACCTTGCAGCGGCTGGCTTCGTTTTGCGATAAGGGGTTAGGGTCTAGATCTTCAAAGGTTTTGGGCTTCAGGGGTCTGGGTTTTTGTAGGGTTTACGATGATAGAGCTTCTCTTAGGAGTTCATGGTTGGTCGTTGATGCACATGGTACTCATACCGCCGGCCACATAAGATTCATATATAAACCCTAAACCCTAGACCCAAAACCCTGTAGACCCTAAACCTGTCTAAACCCCACACTCAGCCCTAAAGTGTGTTCTCGAGGTGACTGAAAGAATTCCAAACAATACCTAAACCATACCTCGGAGGTTTTGCAGGCTTAGGGTCTAGGGTTTAGGGTATCCCTAGACACCTTCCCGGCAACCTCTCCAAGCCAAGTCTATAGACTATAGACCGAACAGTAGTCTAAACCGGAACCCTGAAGCATCTGCCAGAGCAAGAGTGGCTTCAAAGACACCAGGAAATCGACCGCACACCCGCCGGCTATGAAACTACTGCCCGAAACGAGCACCCTTAAAGTCCAAGCCCGACAATGCAGAACTGCAATGGACAGCATTCCCAAAACCTCAGACCCAGAAAGTTCAGAAGATCAGCACTCTCCAAACCGCTTATTTCAGCAAGCGTGCACGGGGTTGGTCTGCTCAACCATGATGTATCTGTAGTGCCTCATGCCGAGACATCTTTGCAGTTTGCCGGCCAGAAACCCTACATAAGCCCTTAAATCTTGGCCTGTTTAGCGCCCCTATATCCTAAACTTTTTGGCGCAAAGGAATCTGGCTGCAAAGCTCTCACACGGTGTAGCATAGTGGCATGAGACTTTGACAGTTGGGAAAGGGCTTTGGGAATATTCTAGTATATACGTTTAAAGAGGAGCCGAAGGGAACAGTATATGTCCAATCTTTAGCTTATGATGCTCGACTAGGAACCCCAACGTCATGGATCAGAACAAGCGAAACCGGCGACCCTAGGACCCTGATTCCAGACACCGGGTGTAGGAGGTTTCCCTAAGAGTCCATGTGCCCAAATAGTTTATACTTTGGCCTTAAAGTAGTCCCTATATAACATTGGGCTCAAAGCATATGCTATTTGGGTACATGGACCCTTAGGGTTTGGGTTTCTGGGTTCCCGGTTGCAGACTGGGTTCCCGGTGTTCCCGGTTGCAGACAGCATGGGCTTTCGGACTGGAACTTTCGCGCTGGGCTCATACACCAGAAATCCAGTAATCCTAAGCCCGCGAAGGCCTCAAATCCCCACACCCGAAACCTTAAACCCTCATCTCTAACCAGCATCATTCATATAAACGAAGAATAGGGATACTCACGATCCTCACAGTTGTGTAGCCCGATTGTCCTAGACTCTGCTCCACAAGCCAGCAACCCCTAACCGAATCCGAAGCCCTCGACCCGCTGCCCAAATCCGCGAACCCGAAACCATGCCGGGAACACCTTACAGTAGAAGCCGGACAGTTGGAACATCATTATCCTCGCGCCCCTAAGGTATTAAAGTAGATGGGATCCCAGCACTCTTCATCCTAAATCCGTGTTCCAACTTTCTGGGGTTCGCTGTAGTCTCTCAGGGTGAAACCATGGGCCCTTGACCCTGGGATCCTTATATATCTACTATCTACCCTATGCAGGCTGGGTTGTCCAGTATCTAGGAGAACTAGAGGTTAACCTCTGGGATTCGATAGGGACCTATAGCACCCCAAAAAAGTTAAAGGCTAACTACCCTACGACTTTGCCTTAGTCCATCAAACCTGTATGCAGCCTTCTACTAGCGCATATGTCTGAAATCTCTTCCTTGGACCTCTCAAATCTCGAACCCAAAAAAAACCTAACTCTGAAACCTCTTCCCTGGACCTCTCAAACCTCGAACCCCCAAAACCCTAAATTTGAAGGCCAAGGGGGCTCGTAGCTGTCGGTAAAGGTGCCATCAATGGCCCCGAAGCCTCTGGATAGCCAGGGTTCTGGCTAAGGAATTTTAGTTTAAGTTACCATAAGAAGGAAGTCATATTGATCAGGAGTGTAGTTTAACTTACCGCAGAAAACAATATTAGCTACGATAGACCCCTATACTATCATAGCTTCTACAAGCTTAAGTTACCATAAGAAGGAAACCATCTTCTGTTAAGGAATTAAGTTTGAGTTGCCATATGAAGGAATACACGTTGTATTAAGGAATTTAATTGAAATTACCACAATGAGGAAACCATATTACCGACTATACATCCCCCATAATGACAACTTCGAAAATTAAATTCCTTAACCAGAACCCGGGAGAGTGGTAAATGCTTCTTTGGGACCTTCTGAGATCATGATCATGGAGGATTACGCTGTTTAGGGTTTAGGGCTGAAAGAGCTAAGAGGGTTCTAATGGGGTCTAGTGGGTGTATAAAGGGCATACCGCATTTAGTGTTGAGGCCTATAAGCAACAAAACGACTAGGGCTGTCGGTGGTTTTGACTACATATACGGTCGTTGGAAGCCTCGTACAAAGCTTGTAGCGGCCACAGGGACACTTTCAAGCCCGAAACGAACCTTGTAAACCCTTCAACAGCATTGGAAATCCTGTGGGAAAAACTTTCGAGACAAACCCTTTGACAACTCTTTTAGGAACCCTGCAAACACAATTAGAGGCCTTGTCGACCATCGTAAATCCACCAAAAACTTTGTAACACTTTCGAAGCGTTCTCGAAACCCTACGATGACCCCCCTAAGACCCTTTAGAAATCGTGCACCACTCTGATAAAGCCTCCGGAGTTATCGGAAGACAAAGTGCTCTGGCCCAGCACCGCCGATCCAAGCACGTCCAAAGCGAAACGGGACATGTCCTCCCGCAGCTCTTAGGGTCTGATAACGCGCTTGTGCAGGTGGTATAGGTTTGCTTCATGAAGTTATTGAGGTCGGTATTGAGGGCTAGCGGATTAAGGCTCAGTCTTTGTTCATGTTTCTTTTGCGGCCCTTCGGGAGTCTACGGGAGTTTCGGGAAGTACAACTTGGAAGTGCTGGGCTCTGCGAGCTGCAGCTTTCGTCTCCCTGAACACTCTAGTCGTTCGGGGTCTAGGGTTGAGTTCCTGTAAGGGTTCCTTTAAGGGTTACTATAAGGGTTATACTGTAGGGTTTTAGGGTTCTTAGTAGGCTGTCTGGTTCTGAGTAGGGAATGGGAGTATGGGTTATGGGGACTATCATTTAGGATTATTTAGGGATCATCGGGATCCATTCCCCCATTCCCTACTAAGCAAAAGACAGTCTTTTGGGAAAAGGACGCTCCTGGGAAAAGGACCCCTCACTCTTGGAAAACCCATTTTGGAAGCAAGGCTTCGGAATCAGGGTTCAGAGATCAAAGACGGTGTCGGGTTTACTGTTGAGGCCTAAGCCCTAAACCGTGACAGGGCTTTCAGTGTAATTATGGGTGTAGAGGTGACTATGCAGCAAACCGGAGGAAACCACCCAATACTGGCGACGAAACACGTCTGCACAATTTAGAGCTTTGAGTTTGAACCTAGACGTGAAAACCTCGGCCCTGCCCCTAAATCCACAATTTAACAAAACCTTCAGCCGCAAAGCCTACAAGGCTCCATGCTTAGGAACTATATACGGTTTCAGGCGTCTTGCGGCTCCGAAGCTGCAACTTCCAAGAGCCCCTCCCGAACGGTTGATGATATAAATTCTGCATTACCCACAATAAGGAATATACCATAATTCCCATAGTTTAGGGTCCTTAAGGTAATGCAGGATCTATATCATCAACAGAAGCACCCCAAAAGCGCTTCGTTAAGGAATGTTCCTGAAAATCTAGTGGTGGGGGGGTGGGGGCGTTAGGGTTTGTCGTCGGGCTTTGGGCTTAAGGTATGTGTTCGGGTTTGAAAGCCCCACCATGAACCATATAGAATCTCATGCAGCTCCTCAACGAAGCCAAAGAACCCACCCTTCCTATTGACTGCAAAACACCAATTCTGCATGGTTTCTTCTTGGTTCGGATCTCCTTGCAGCGCAGTGTACCCCCCAATTGTTCAGGCGCCACATACAAAATTAAGGAACGGGTTTAGGCGCCACGCAGCATTCCGTGGTAAGGCTCTCAAAATACCCCAAAACTCCTCAACCAATGAAGCCCTGAGCCCTTAACCCCAAACCGCTCAAACCCTCAACCCTACAATCCTATAAACCCGAAGCCCTCAACCCTTAAACCCCTAACCCCCCTCCCCCCCCCAAAAAAAAAATAAAAATAATAAACCCTAACCCTCATCCGACCAAGATCAGCGCCGGGTCCTGCTTGGCATCCACCTCGTCTGCACCCCTCCAGGTGTCCAGAAGCCTCGGTTCTCATGTCTTCAAGTTAAGCTTCCGAGCTTTCGGGGCTCCAGGGGTTTAGGGGTTAGGGGTTTATACTACCTTTAAAGAAGCCTCATAGGTCCCTTATAAAGATCCCTTTCAAAGGAATCCTTACCCCAAGGGTCCAAGTACCTAATGAGCATATACTCTCCAAAATCCTAACATACATAACTACTATCCTAAAGCTGAGTACCTAATTATTGGATGCTTTGGACCCTTAGGGTCAGATTTCCTGGGTTCCTGCTAGGGAATTTGAATTCAGCTATCATGATTTGGATCTATAGTAAATAATATGGTTTCCTTATTTTGGTATCTTATATTGAATAAGACTAGGGTTTACGGAGTTCTGAGTTTCAGGCTCAGGCTTAGGAGCTTAGTATTGCCCCAAACAAAGGCCAAAATCCGCGAAGAGATTCGTGTGACCCCCTCTCCCTGCAGAGTTGTACGTAGGTATGGCTTGGGTTCGACTGGGGTGGGTGCTGCTCTCATCACAAGGGTTTGGTTGGCGTGGGTGCGGTAGGCTCAACAGACTGGGTTTCGGGGAGGGATGAGTTTCGGACAGGGGCGGGCTGGGGGGGAGGGGGGGGGGGGAGGGGCTGGTTTCGGGTTTCGGGGCTGGTTTCGGGTTTCGGGCTTCGGGCTTGGAGTTTGAAATTTCGGGCTTCTAGTTTGGGATTTCGCCTGTAGGTTTTAGATTAACGGGCTTAGGTTTTCGGGTGGCTCGAAGCGCTCAGGTTTGAGGTTGGAGGCGGTGTGTAATTTATGGCTTCGGGTTTCGGAAGCAAGATCTATATATAGGGTTTAGTGCGCAAAGCTTTTACGTTGAACTCAACCTCATACCCGAGTACTTCCCCCGGACCAACCGTAAACCCACCCACCCCTCCCTCCACAAGAATAAACAACAATGCAAGCCAGATCACCTGTCGGAGCAATCGTTGAACTTGGGCAGGAGATTGCGCAAGGCCTGGGCAACTTCGGCTAAAAAGGTATTGGAGCGCCCTAAGCATCACCAATACTATTTTTGGGGGTTTCCTTTTTTAAATATCACTAGAGCCTAACATACCCCCAAACCCTATTCTGATTATTAAGGCCTCCATAGTGGGCGTCTGGCGGTTCAGATCGGGCTGCGATCGAGGATTTGGGGCTCCGGATCAGCTGGGGAAGTCGTCTTGAGGACTCAGTCAGGGCCTATTCACCCTTTCAAAGGGTTCCTTACTAAACCCTAAACCCTAAACCGTGATCCTTAAAGGGTTTTGTAAGGGATCTATGGAGCTTCCGGGTCCTGAGGATCCATAAAGTCCAGCTGTCTGTGTACGTCTACTCGTACAGTCTCGTACATACGTGCGTGTATATATATATATATATATATATATGTTCGTCTACTCGTAGTCGACACACATTTAATATGCATATACATATATATACACACATGCATACATACATACATACACACATACATACATATGTATGTATGAGGTGTTTATGTGTACACATACATGCATACATACATGCATACATACATACACACGCAAGTACGTACAAACATACCAACATGCATGCATACATACATATATACATACACGCTGTGGCAGTGAAACACCTTTTTCGGAACCCTTGTATGCTCTAGAGCTACGACGACCCTTAGGACAAGCATGTTGGGAAACATTCTGCTATGGTTATGGTTCCCAAAGGAACGAAAAGGGAGCAGTACTGTTTCTATTGATGCAGACCCCTATGCTAGTCTTGCTGCTATAGTTTGCATGGGCTTTGCAGTCACACCTGCTGCTTGCAAGAACACGCCCCCTCTCCTTTTAAAACCGAACTATATCTCGGTGCATTGATGCTCTGCCGAGCTCGTGGAGTTTGGCCCTAGACCATACGCTGTGCCTACTATTACAGGAGATGCTGAGACCTGCCGTTGGACTACGCAGTCGGAAGGGGCTTGTGGTCAGCGCGAGGCTACAGTCCCCTTGCGAAGATGATTCAAAGTGAGCTTGCATCCGCCAAAGGGGCTTCGATTTTGCCAACCAAGCTGAATGGCTCCAGTTGTCTTAGGCTCTTAGGTACATTTATTATTTGTAGCCTTTAACTCCATGCTCTAAGCCGCCTGCATAGGCTTCTGGCTAGCAAACTTCTGCTGACTTGGGGCATTTACCAAAGCAGAATACTACGAGGCTGTAGCTACTGTAGTTTCAGCAATTGATTACCTTGCACTACCCAACTCCGCACGGAAGACACCCTAAACCCTAAACCCTGAACCCTACCAAATCCCACAGTCTCCTGAACCCCACTTCCTCTCCTGCCTGCACCCCTGAATTTATCACACACCATAAACTCGTAGGGGCCACTGTTCAGCACGCTTAACCAGACACCCGGGAGGATCTAGAAAGTAGATCCCCTAATTTGGGGCCCTATACTACTAAGGGTACTTTATAGGAACCCCCATTTAAGGGATCTACTTTTTGGATCCTCCCGGGGGTCTGGGTAACCCTAAGCCTGCGGCCCTCTTCTGAAGCTTAGGCGGTCGCTTGCTTCTCGAAGGCGGGATCGATAGGCTTTCCTGCAAATGCAAAGCTGTGATTATAAAAGGTGGTTATTCTGATTAATTATAGTAATTAAATATATTATGAAAGGTAGTTATTATGATTAATTATAGTAATTAAATACAGTTATATTAATAATAATGGTTTAATCCGAATTAAAAAATCCTGAACCTCCTGGACATGCAGCCCAAGGCTTGTGGGGGTCAGGTGCAGGGTGTATAGTTGGGCATCTGCCTAAGGTCCACAGACTCTGCTTGAAGGACTGTGGCATTACTCTGAGTACAGGTCTAGAGCTTAACATCGAAGCCTCAATGCCCGGAATAGAGCTCAGGGGTAGGTTATAAGCATAGTACCTAAACCCTCAAACCCCAAATCCAGAACCTGAAAAGCGAGATGATTAGCACAGCGGACCCTATTGCTCTCTATTCCGAGCAACATATAACTTCCAGAGTCGGCACTCAGTTAATAGCTTGTACCTGGGGCCATAAGCTGATCAGTATCGAAATCGTGAGGCCGTGCCTGCCGGCCTATATACTTCTGACCTACTTGCTGAATCTAAACCTACTACTGTAAATCACACATCTCACTTGCTTAGGTCCCTCTGACAAAAGGCAATAGCAATAGTCGCTGTCGTCGTCCTCGCAAACAAAATGCAGTAGCTGCAGCGTGGAGGGGCGGGGTGGGTGGTTGGGAGGCATCCTTTAGGAGGAGGCAGCAGTTTGGAGGAAGGGAGGATTCAGAATCGGTTCATGCCATGCCGCTGAGACATGCACGTGGAATATAGCCTCCAAACCCGACAGACCCCAAACCCTAATCATTGAGTCATTGAGTTTTAGCTTAATAGTGTGTAGTAATGTGGGCTCATACTCGTGGGAGTCCATGATGATTGTTGGTCCTGAAGCATCTGTCATACATGTCAAGCCCTAAACCCTCAGTAAACCCGCCCTGATCTGAACCCAAAATACTTCAACATGAAGCATAAACCCTCTCTGTCTCGGCTCGAACCTCAAACACGTTCTTGTGCTCTCATGGATGATGCTGGCTACCGTCCTACGTCTCTGAGGAGTTGCTGGTTCATAAAAGGCTAAGGGCTGAAGGCACCGTGGCCCCAATTGCATTTGGTGGCTCAGCTATTTTAGGGTTTAGGGTTTAGGGTTTAGGGTTTTCGTTCGCTGGGAAGCGTTTGATAGAAATGGGACCAGATTGGTGGAAGTGGAAGCCTGATATTCTGTAGAGCCGAGTGGCTCTGTGCGGCCCAGTCGTGCCCGTTGGACATAACAACCTGAATTTAGGGGAGCGAGGTTGCACCTCAGCCTTAGGCTATTGGGATTTGGCATCACCAACATGATACCTTGATCTAAATCTGAGACTAGACGATCCTGACTACCAGGACACTGACCCACCGCAAAACGACAGAGCCCTCAAATTGTCAGGAAAATAACTTTCAACAGAACTACCAACACAGAAGCCAGGCACGCTTGAAGTTCCGTCCTGGCACGCAGGGCTGTAGGGTTTCTATCTAAGGGGAAGGGTTACCGGCGGGCTTACAACTTCAAGGCAGCACTTCCGGTAGCCATGCTGGAATATTCCTTCCCTACAATACGACTCGAAGTTCAAGACATCGGTTTTAGGGGAGCATTGACCCCGATTTCGGGGCAATGTTGAAATAGTAGGATGTTTTGGCCAACTTCTGTAGTATAATATAGGGGCCTTAATAATTACAAAGGGGTTTGGGGCCCATGAAACTACAATTATGATGAGGAACCCCAAAATAGGGAATTATTAAGGCTTCTATATTAGGGGGCATTCGGTCCTTGCTGCGGTAGAGCAGAGTGTCGAGCCTCAAATGGCAGACAACATTGACATAAGGGTGCAGAAACCAAAGAAAAAAGCTCAGCATCAACACCTGAAAGCCTATAGTCGATAAGTCCAGCACTTCTCCTTTCCAGATGTTTTAGCCCCTGCTGGTATGGGTCTTGCACGGGGTGCTGGGTTGCGAGGCTTTAACGTCGCGGGGCTTCGAGGAAAGCAGGACAGAGTCTCCAGATTTGGTGTTTTGGACACAACCAAAACTGGCAGAAGAGTAACATAGGGGCCTAAATAGTTACCAGAAGTATAGTATAATGGACCCCTAATTACAAAGACCCTACATTTTGGATCTGATAGTACTGGTAGCCTGGAATACTCATCCGTTCGGTGTCAGTGTTGAGCCCGCAAAGATCCTCTCAAGATCAATCTCACCAAAACCAACCGCTTCAAACACAAACGAATGAGTAATATGGGCCTTAATAATTAGAACAAGGTTTTCCATTATACTATAATTATAGTAAGGAACCCCAAGATATTAATCAATTGCAGGTAGTCCCCTATAGTAGTTGGACAATCATGATAGAGAGGCCTGAACCTGCAGCTTTTCTGGGCTAACCTCTTATCCCCTTGAAAGATCTAGGAGCGCACTTGCGGGGTTCCGCGGGACCTCCATCTTGATGAAGTCCTCACAAGCAATCCCGAAGTTTCATATCGGGCTTGCTGTCTCGGGTCAAACAGGGCTTATCACAGGGTCAAGGAACGCAGCGCTTCAGGACTCAAGGTGCCACGGTTTAGTCAGCTTGATGTTGCCAGGTTACGAGCACGCGTGCCAAAACCCAAACCAAACCCTGCACGCACATGTTGGGGACCTGTTGAAGAGAAGACAAGCTTCTAGATCTGGGTTTAAGGTTTAGGATTTAGGGCTACGATTTAAGATTTAGGGAGCAGGGCTAGCATGAGTACATGCCGGGGCATTGGGGATTCCAGTCGGGTTAATTGAGGCTTCCAGATTAGAGCAGCCCCAACATATACAAATAGTCTATATATATATATATATATATATATATATATACTCTCTCTCTCTCTCTCTCTTTTCTATAGTTGTATAGCTTCCGAATCTGTGAGGCATTAAGTATCTTGAATCAAGTCTATGCGCACGCACACATTCACGCACACACACACACACACACACACACACAACACACACACACACACACACACACACAGAGAGACACACACACACACACACAAACACACACACACACACAAACCACACACACACACACACATCCGAAGCGCCTTGCATCCCAAGTCCACAACTTAAACAAGCCCTACACTCGGGCTCCTCCCCGGACTACGAACTTACGACTGCTCATTGCTTCCAAAGCCCGATTAAGTACCTCAGTACTGCGCACTTGCCCCTCATCTGGTCAAGCTCCATGCCGCCTTGATAAACCCTGAACCGCAACCCCTCGGACACCTTAGGTCTCTGCGGAGCCTTGGGACGCGTCAGCACGGATCTCGCTAGCTCCGGATGTGTCACCTGAGATCGGTGCGGCTCACTGCTTCGGTGTTGGTTTGGAGCTTCAGAATAAAGTTCGGAGCTTAGGCTTCAGGGGACTGTATGGTGTATGAGTAGTCAGTAGTCCATGGAGTTGCACCTTTAGGGATGCTTCCTACGGCTTTGGATCTTCGTCTTTGGTGGCATAGAGGAGATTTGCTAGCAAGGATCCAGGTGCGAAGTGCAAGGTTTTGCGTCTAGGTTGTACGCAAAAAATCGTTGAATTCCAGTCGTGTGGGGCTTGAAGCTTGAAGCTTATCTTTCGGGCTCCGGGCCCGAATTCAAGACCAATTCGGGTCATGGAGCAATTTATCCCAACATTTCCAAAATAGACTCAATAGACTAAACTCTCTGTGCCCACAAAGTCCACGTCTGAAAAATCGCTGCTGTTGAGGCGAGGGTCCACACAAGCGGTCTTGGGCCCAATGTGCATCCGGAACATCCGCGGGTGCCTTCGTGGCAGAGTGAAACCCTGAATGCGAACAGTGCAACCAAGATCACGCCCCAACACGCATATGTTCGTCGCAATTTCCCAGTCTGCACAAACTATATACGTATAGCTACCTTGCTTTGTGCGAGCTCCAGATCGCATCCCGAGACGCATGACGAGTTCGCTGCAAGAGCTCGCGGATGCCGAACAACATAACCCTTCATTTCGAACTTCAACCCTAAGCCCTAAAACCCCAAACCCTAAACCCTTAAACCCCTGAACCCTAAACCCCTACAGCCCTAAAACCCTAAACCCTAAAACCCTAAAATCCTACACCCAAAAACCCTAAACCCCTAAAGCCCTAAAACCCTGAAGCCCTAAAACCCTAAAATCCTACACCCTAAAACCCCAAACCCTAAAGCCCTAAAACCCTGAAACCCTAAAGCCCTAAAACCCTGAGACCTCCTGAGACTTCTGGTCCCAAAGCTCCAAGATCCTACAGTAGTGAAGCTTAGGAAGGTCAGGAGATTTTAGAGTTTACCTAGAGGCTCATCTTTGGATACCCAGTTTAAGGTTAGGATCTGTGATAGAGAAAATTAGGTACCTGAAAAAATGGTAGGGTATGAGCCTCAGGCAGGGTGTGGTTCAGGGTTAACGGTTAGTCTTTTGGGGCTTATGGTTCTGTGCTGGAGATGTGTCTCGGGACCCTATTCTCTAAACCCTCGCTGCGCGAAACGCGACCCTGAAAGGGAACAAGCTGAGTTAATCCCAATCCGTGCGGCTCACTGCCCTTCTGCATGAGCGCCTTGGGCAAGGAGTAACCCTAAGCCTCCAAGCACTCTTGTTTTGAGGCTTTTGGGCCCAAATGCCATATTAAGTAAGGTGTTTGGCCTAAACCCTACACCCTAAACCGTTTGGGCTACTTTGAGCTTTGGGGTAGAAACCCACCATGCTTTTCGGGCTAACTGGATGTGGGTTGAGGATTGGAGAGTCTAGGGCCACTGCTTGTGGCGAGGGTTCGAATGTGCATGGAAGCGTGTAACCTGAGTATCTACCGAGAGTGGAACTTCTCAACCAAAAACTCTGAACCTCATAAACCCCTAAACTCCAAACCCTAGACCACCCAAAATGACTGCAGGGTTATATGTCTTCCTCTCACCTCTTGAGCCATACTTCGGAAAGTCAAAGGCGCAGGTTGCGTGCTTCAGACATGAATCATAAGAATACTGCACGAATGCCTCCCCCACGAATATAGCCGACGTTTATGCGCAAGTATGGTTGTTACTGGCCGTTTAAGGGAAACCCCTTGCTAACCCTAAACCCTGAACCCTAAAACTCTAAAACCATAAACCCTAAACCGTCCCTAAACCCTAGTGAGGCTTCGCATGTCGCAGGGCTTGCTTGGATGCTCGAGGGATGATCGGTTTCGGGTAATTATAGAATCCTAAGCCTACAATGAGATACATAAGATACTGTCAGATACGATAAGATACGACAAGCTACCATGAGATAACAGAAGATACTCTAAGATGCCGCGCTACACCAAAATATACTAGATGATGCTACAAGACTGACAGCCTCGAGGCGTGTGGCCCTGGGAGAGCAAAGAATTGAGTGCTTGCACCTGCCCAGGTTCTGTAGAAAACGACGTGGCGCAGCAGGTTTTTTTGCCACGACGTTACGCAGAATCATGGTTTTGGTGCTGTGCAAAACTTTAGACTTTACAGACGTTACAACACTGAACCGATTCGGTAGAAGCTTCGGTCAGTCTCTGGCAGTTCACCAACCCATACCCAAAGGGTTCATGCACCCAAATAGTATATACTTTAAGCCCAATGTACCTATATAGGGACTACTTTGAGGCCAAATCTTATACTATTTGGGTACATGGACACTTAGGGATAGCGAAACTCGCTCCCTGCTGCCCGAGCATCTGCACAAAGCTTGCTCCGGGCCAGGAAGACAAATGCCTTACCTGCCACACTGAAGGGTGTTAGGGCCATCTCCGCTTCTACTGCCTGGTGAAGACTTCTTAGCATACAGACATGGCTAATGGGTAACATAGACTCTCTCCTATAACTCGACTGTAAATATGTGTATGACCAGTGAAACTTAATCATGGGAAACGTACAATACTAAGGGATTCAAGCCCCCAGATTTCGTTGCCTACGGTTCTCGGCGAGGACGTATTTTCGGGTTGCGAAAGCAACGTGGCACTTCGGGCTATGCTGGTCCCATAAACGATTGCGCTAAGGCTCATAGACGTGTCTTCTCTAAGTGTTCTTGACGGCAGGGGTCCTTTTGACGCAATCTCTGAACTTGTTCTGTAACATAGGGGCCTTAATAATTAGAATAGGGTTTTGCGGTCCATTATTTTAATAGAAGTATAATAAGAAAATCTCCAGAATTGTATATAGGTAACAAATTAACAAAGTATAGCAACGAAATCCCCAAACCAGTATAGGTAATCTATCTTACAGCAAACCCCATAAAGTTGGAAGCCGGATTAAGGCCAAACAGTGCTGGGATTCCCTATACATTACTCTTGAGGATTGAGGATATTGGGTTTCCAACTTTTAGGCTTCTACAAGGGCTCCCTTTTTGGTATTGGGTAACTTTATAAGGAGCCTAGGACGACAAAAAGGGAATAAGGGAACTACTGGGCAGCCTAGAGTATAGGTAATCTATATTAATGGGTTTCTGGCGTCGGGCTCAGACTCGAAATCTGCGGATTTGGGTTTTCGGACCTTATGGGTCCTAAATCGTGCCGAAGGTTTAGAGTTTAGGGTTTTGGGTTCGGGCTCAGGGCTTATAAGGGTTTGGGGTTTAGGGTTCGGGGTTTTGGGTTTAGGGTTTAAGCCTGGCCTGGCTCTGATTTGCACGCTTTCTTTCAGGAGCATCTCGCTTTTTGGGGGGTCTGTGCAGGCTGCAGGAGCCTCTGTACGTGATCGTGCCAAGATTCCGGCGCAACGGCTGCCTGCAACTGCAACGATGTGATCTGTTAAAAGCTAAACGCTTGCTGGGCATGTGCCCAAGTGTGCCCAATGCAGGGCTTTCCGGGTGAGGATGTCACCGGCTTCGCCGGCGCCACTGATTTCAGCAACCCGTTCTGTTCCCCAATGCTCCTCACTCCTCCCCGGCAACTGTACAGTTGAGGTTGCTCCACTTGCTCCGCGATCTAGTTCCACTCCCGGGACCCTTTTCCTATAACTTTGATCTGAAGAGCACCTGTGCCATCGACCATGGGCCATATCCTAAAAGAGCAGTGCTCGAGGTCACCTGGGCTCAATATTCCGCATCCGACGAACACTGAAAGCCCCAAAGCCCACTAGGCTTAAAATAAGCCCAACGAAACCATGCACGAGGCCCAAGGCCCGATAAATCCACAACACGCTGCCATAGTCCTACAAAAGCCGCGAACAAAAAATGTCCTCTGCGCTCCACCCTGCCCTGCTGCACATTGGAGCAACCCCATCACAAACTACAGATGCTTCAGAAGTCCTGGTTTTGAGGGTTTAGGGCTTACCATGGCCCTGGGACCTGGACTGCAGCACCCTTACTTACTCTGTTTATGCTCAAGGAGGGTTTATACAAAGAAGTTACGGCAAACAACAAGGGGTCTTCAGGGGCTCAGTAGGTAGGAGTCACGGCTCCAAATGTCCGGGGTAGGGCTTTGATAGCCAGTATCCGCATATTGCCGCACCAACTTTCCTCACCTCTGCACATGTACCCGAAACTCTTGACTCGAAACCCTGTGAACTTTAAACTCAAAGCCCTAAACCCTCAACTGCTACATTTGGGGGTTTTAGGCGCCCGCGAGCATCTCACGGGAAGCTTCACGGCGCAGTGGAATTGCATCATGCAGGAAGCCTGGTCAGCGCTTTGTTAAGGATCCCGACGGTTTCCTTTGAGGGGTTCTTTTTTAGGGGTTTAGGGTTTCGGGATTGGGGGTTAGGGTTTAAGGTTTAGAGTTTAGGGTTTATGGTTTAGGGGTTTAGGGTTCGCATTAAGGGTTTTCTGGCTGTAGAGCTTGAGCATCTAGCACGGAAAGGTTTTGAAGGGATGCGACTCTAAACTCACCCTAAACCCCAAAGTCTAAACCGTAAACCCTATAATTTCTAGGTGCCCAACCCTACACCCTAAATATTCCAGGAGCCTGGCAGCCCTTCAACCCGGTGGCTGCAAGCGCTTCAGGGTTTTCCGGATTGAGGCTATGGGGCTTGTAGACGGCTTATGAAGCAGCGATGAAGCCCATATCGAATCCTTATTCTAGAACCCCTAGAGCCTTAGAGGAGCCTGGAATGAAATGGGCCGCTAGACCTAAACACGAAACCCAAAACCCCAAGACCATAGCTAAACCTGAACCAAAAGCGTGATTTTTCTCCGAGGTTCTACTCCTCATGGTCATCTTTATAGAAACCCTTAAAAAACCTCCAAGAGCCTCATAGAAGCCGTTATGGACGCCCGCAAAGGAACCCCGGCCCCTAAAGGGGACCCATTCAAGGAACCTACAGAAGCCCGTACAGAACCCTATAGAAGCCCGTAAAAGGAGGGAAAAGCCTTCCGACACCCTTAAAGGAATCATTAGAAGAACCCTGAACCCTGTAGAAGCCCCCACAGGAATCCCTACAGCCCTACAGTCCCGCAGAAACCCGTGCAGAAACCCTTGTAGAATCCCTGAAAAAGGAACCCTGAAACCCAAAAGGAACCCTGAAACCCAAAAGGAACCCTGACCCCCTAAAGCAAGCTAAACCCGAGCAACCCTTAGAAGAGCCCTAAACCCTAAACTCTAAACCCCGACAGCAACTTATAGAAGAGCCCTAAACCTTAAACCCTTAAACCCCTAAACCCTAAACCCTAAACCCTTAAACCCTAAACCCTTAAACCCTAAACCCTTAAACCCCTAAACCCTAAGCCCCTAAACCCTAAACCCTAAACCCTTAAACCCTTAAACCCTAAACCCCTAAACCCTAAACGCTAAACCCCTCAAAGCCCAGGCCTCGGCTTCGGCTTGCCAAGAATTGCGCCACGGAGGCGCTGAGCTTTTTGATCGCCTCGTTCTTGACCTCTACTTGCTTTTACTGGGTTTAAGGGTTTAGGGTTTAGGGCTTATAGGGTTTAGGGTTACCCTAGGGATCTAAGGACTCACATATTAGGGCTTTTGGGTCCAAAGACCATACTGTACAAGGCTTTTGGGCCATCTTGAGCCCTAGGGTAAGGGGTTTGTAGAAGTTTAAGGGTTTTCAGGTTTAGGGTTTGGTTTAGGGTTTAAGGGTTTAGGGGTTAAAGGTTAGGGTTTAAGAGTTTAGGGTTCCTTTGAGGGTTTACGAGTTTATAGGGTGTAGAGTTCAGGGTGTAGGGCTCAAGGGTTAAAGGTTTAGAGTGCACGGTTTCGGTTTTAAGGGTTTAGGGTTCGTAGGGTTTACAGAAAACGCCATCTCCAAGTCCGTCGGAGACCAGGCCCTTTGACAGTCCTGAATCATGACAGGATCAGGCCAGAGAGCCCAATAGCCCCTAATTAAGGAATATAGCTTAATCATAATATGAAGCCCTATACAATTTAAGCCATAATCCTTAATTAAGGGGTATTGGGCTCTCTGGGAGCCGAAAACCGAGGGTGATCAGGACTTCCTCTGTTCTGTGAGTAGTTACTCGACCTCAGCCCTGGCGTAACCACCAACCCTGACAGTACGTCTACCTATAGTCTCCATTGTAGTTCCCTTTTGGGGTTACCTTATAGTTATAGGATCCTTAATATTTAGCTGGTTAAACCACAAAAAGGAACCACAATGGAGACTTTAGGTAGGATCTCAAATAACAGCGAGGATGTCATCCGGGAGGTGCGATTGTACCGAAGTAAATCAACGTCGGCTTCTCAAAAATGCCCCCCCCAAATTTCCACTCCTGGACCACATTTGATCGCGGGGATGAAGAGCTTCGAGTCGCCAATTGCAGAGAGCACAGCTCATCCAGACGCTCCAGCCGCGGAAGGACAGAAGCTTCAAAGGCTTTCTTGATCTCAACAGCAACAGCTAAAGAGACCTGCTCCTGTGTGATGACAGCACCCACGATCTGCGAGACCAACAGGTCCCGAGAATCAGTATCGTGCTGAATCAGCTCTAGGATTCGCTGCTCGGATCTCCGAACTTCTTTGGCCGGAGATACACTGCCCGTCTTCGAGGAGCGCTTAAGTTCGGATGGCAGGTGCCTACATTCGCCGCAGAGTCCTATCACGGCATGACTCACATCTGGGACACTTTCGAACAAGTAGAAACATCCTCGTGCAATAAACTGAAGGTAAGTCATTATCAACGTAACCACACCCAAAACTACTAACAAGGCAACATCGAAGGCAATCTTTGGAAGCATGAGAAGGTCATCCCATTGGGAGAAAGCCGTCCACAGAGATTGCGAACCGAACCAGCAAAAGTGATCATTCAACCAAGCTAGAAGGATTGTATACGCAACTTGATAGGGTTTATGAAGGCCCTTCCGGGGTTGGCACGCCCCACTTGTTCCTTTAAGCTTTTCCAGGGAATGTCTCTCTCTATCAGGGATTCTAGGGCTTTAGGACTGTAGGACTCTATATCAGCGCACGGCACGTTCGAAAAAAACAAAAAAGTTGCTGGCCTTACGATTTCGGACCTCGGGCTTCTATACATGTAGGTGGTTGGCAGAATTAGGGCCCCTTTTTGGGGTATCCTGAATAGTAGGTGCCGTAGTATAATAGGGATCCGAAAAGGGACCCTACTTTTGACAACCACCCATGTGGAAAAGCAAGCAGGCTTTGGTGGTTGATTCAGCTATCGGTTCAAGTCTCACAACTGATGCAGCAACCCGACATACCTTGTTGAAACATTAGCTTACATCCTGCAGCTGCTAGGTATCCAGCTAAGCAGAAGTATATGTAAATTACACTCACTCCTGAAATCACTCTCATATGCAACCGCCAATGTTTGCCCTGTCAGCAGCTCCAAGTCAGGCTTCTGCACAACACCCCCAAACCCTAAATTCCCCAAAACCCAAGAACCCTACACGCCCTCAACCCAAGTCCTATTCACAACACAGCTTGACGCTAGACCTCGCGACCTTCACGCTGCCGGCATAGGCGAAAGAGATCAAAAGTGGGCCAGGAAATCATCCTGGTAACACCCACCAACTACTTATCTACGGACGTACGAGTGTATGCATGTTTATGCATAAACTTGCCTATCCGTGTATCTGTCTATCTGTCTGTCTACGTAGCTATCTATCTATAGCTATCTGGCTGACTAGATCGCTAGCTGTTTGCCTTTGTCTGGACATGTGTGTATATATATATATATAGATATAGATATGTATGTATGTATGTATGTATGTACACACGCATGTAGAGCATACACTGACATGCCTACAGCACGTGGATGTAATGATATAGTGAAAGCAATTCTGCAGAAGTTTCGCGGGCGCTAAACCAATCCTGCACTGCATGACCCAATGCGCCCGAAGCCCTAAACCCTGTAAGTCTCAGTCCCATACCTTGAAAGTCATGAGCCTTGAACCACTAGCGCATTGACGCCGGGCCCCAGGCGAAGTATTCGTTCGTCACGTGGCCACCGAGGATGACAAGCAAGAGATAGATCCCGAAGAACCTACGTCGCAGTGTCTTTGCAGTCAGGTGTCCCTTTCGAGCTTTGTATCTAAAACAGGACCCTGCTCTGGGAACACTCCCAGCTCCATTCGCTTTAAAGTCTGCTTCCCACGGAACCCGAAGCAAGCTGGGAAATCGAACCCTGAACCTCAACTGCAAAGAAGTTAGATTTGGAGCAGCGTAAGCTGCGGTCGGACAAAGCCCATACATCTACATAAACCCTGATTCCCCCCGTGAACACAGCGTTCAGGGCGACAAGGCCCATGTTCGTAAGGGCCACACCTGCAGAGGAACAGCACTGGGATTCGAAACCCCTAGGTTCAGTTGGACGCAATTGAATGCAGGAAGAACCCAACTATGACTTTTATTCAAGGTGTTTGTCTTGTCGGATTAGTTGCTTTTGGGGCCTTAGTAAAGAGAATAGGGTTTCGGGGTGTATTTTGGAATACTTCTACAAGTACCCCGAAAGAGTGATTTTGGTATTTATTCAGCCTGCTCTAGTACACCGTACACCTGATCGAACATTCAAGCTAAATCCTTCAGCAGGCTAATCCCTTTCCAGCCCCGATGAGAGATATGGTATAAGGGGGTTTCCGAAAATACTAGGGGACCCTGATAACTAGTAGTCCAAAAATGGATCCTTATTATGAGGACCCCCAAAATAAGGTACCCATAATTTTCGCAAACCCTACACCCTTATAGAGCCCATTAAAGGAACCCTTATAGTGCCCTTATAGTAACCCTTGAAAGGAACTCATAGGTATCCCTTAAATTTTCGGAAACTCCCCCATATACGCTCTAAACCCTTTAGAGCCCTTTAAAGGAACCCCTATTATATTAACCTTATAATACCCCTTTAAAGGAACCCTAAAGTTGGCCCTAAAGGTACGAGGAGCACCTCTTTGGCATGATCCCGCCCCAGAGCTTCTCAGCGATCTTCCTCGGAGGCGCAGGACTGACTGCGGTTCCTAGAGGCTCATACCCTACCCCTTTTTTAAAGTTCCAAATTTTTCGATATAACAGATTCTAAACATAAAACTAGGCTTTTAAGGTACCTAATTATCTATATAACAGGTCCTAGCGATAAAACTAGGTGTCCGAAAAAAGGGGTAGGGTATGAGCCTCTAGGTTTAGCTGGGTTGCCTTACGGGGCGCCACATCGCCGCCTACTGTGTTGAGCCCAGGGTGTGTTTGTGATTCATGGACACAATCTAGTATTCGACCGGTTAGTGTCAGCGACAACATATATATATATATATATACACACACATATACATATGTATATCTGCACATATATATGTATATATACATATATATATATATATATATATATACATGTATTGTGTGTGTATATATATATGAATATGCATCCTACACCTGAAACTTTGCTCCTGAATTGCAGTACCTTTCCTTGAGAAACCCCGTACTGCATGCGTACCATCCGTCAAGGAAGCATAGGGTATGCAGAACATGGAGCAACAGTTGGACGTTCGGATGTACCCGTTGGATTATGCTTGGTTGTGGTGCTCACCTTCGCGGTTGGCGGCCACTTGCTGGGGGTTTGAGGCTCGTAAATGTCTGCATAGCTAGTGTGGACTTCTGCTCACAGTTCAAGACAAGCCTCCTGTCGGTTTTGTTCAACAGCCAGTGTACATGTTGGTACTAACTCTTCGCGGCTTCAACAATCAGAATGCTAGATGTCAGGACGGCCGTGCGGCCCCACATATCACAGTGTTGTACTTTTGCGGACACGGTGGACGAGTATCCTTTCTAGCCAGACTGTCTGGCTACTCTATCCAGACCTTGCTTCAGAGCCTGACACTCCATCAAAGACACAAAAACAGAAGCGGCTGAAGTCCCCGTAGGAACAAACCACAGCTGAAAACAAGCTGGCCTGCTGAAAAGCAGCGCGTCTTGCGAGAAACAACTGGAAACACGCGCTTTTTCTCACGGCACGGTTCCGATGACTTGGGGTGAAGGGAACTCAGATGGCGTCCAAGAAGCTTCTTGTAGAAGATTTGGCCGATCGGCCCATGAAGAATGAACCTTCGCTGCTGCTGTGTGAGCTCGTAAACACCCCCCCCCCCCCCCCGGTTGAGCAGGTTTCGGGAGGGAGAGCATGTGCACTGGGCAGCATTAGACGATACTAAACGGAACGATATTTGGGGGCCCTTATAATAAGGATCCTACTATTTGGGGTACTATATTAGGGTCAGAAAAGGTTAAGCTTTCGTTTGTATAGTCTGGGTCTGGCATTCGACATCCGCACACGAGTTTTGGGCACTACAAACACGATCTCAAAGCCTGCCGGAGTCGAGCACCCTACACACCCACCCTAAACCCTAAACCCCGAGCACTAAACCCCAAACCCTAAACCCTGAAAACGTCACCCTAAACCTTAAACCCCGAGCACTAAACCTGAAGTCGGCGGCTCCTGCACCTGAGCTTTGAAGAGCCTCAAAACTGCCTCCTCAAATGAGGGGTACCATATTTGGGGGTCCTTATAATAGGGATCCTACTAGTTGGGGTACTATATTAGGGTCCCTTGTTTTCGGAAACCCCCAAATCGGTTGACCTCAGTGCAGCCCGAATCCCGAAAAGGAAAGGCGGCCAGAAGCCAGCAGTCTGCACCCAATCCTAAACCCTCGGCCAAATGCCACACACCCATCAACCTCCAATATAGGGTCTTCGTAATCTCTGGACTCTTTTCTGTTCATACCACAAAAAGGACAGGTCAACACCCGCACCAAATCTACTTAATGACTAGTGGCTAGCTACTAGTATTCAAGAGCGTCACTAAAAACACCTACCTACTCCTCTAGTTATCTACTTAATTACTTACCTACGTAACTACTTATTGCCTACCTATTTGCCTTATTGTAAAGGTAACCACTTACCTACTTACCTGCACCTGTGCCTACCTCCTGCCTGCCTGCCTGCTGGCTTACTACTTCCTTACCTCCCTCTCTCCTTCCTGCTGCCCAGCCCTTAATCCTGAACCCCAAACCCTAAACTCAAAGCCTTGCATCCTAAACCCCAAGCCCTAAACTCGCAAACCTAAAAGCCAAAACCTTAAACCCAAAAAAAAACTCAGACCCTAAACCCTAAAGCCCTAAACTTTTCGATCCGGGCAGCATTGGGAACGCGAGCGATCCCAACCAGGTCATCAGCTTGGAGCCGAAGAACCTGGCAGAGGATTCAAGCTCAGGTTTGTTTAAGTTGAACTGCAATCCCCTTCAAAAGATCCGAAAGGGCTTAGGGTTTTTGGGCTTCGGATTTGAGATCTTGGGGCAGGCTTTGGTTTCAGGGTTTGACCTTTGAGAATCACGGGGTTTAGGCTGGGGTTGAGGGAAATCTTGGCTCTAGGATTTTCTCTGTCGGCTGAAACCCTACTGACCGACATCCTAAACCCAAAACCCTAAAAACCCCTGAGGTTTAGGCCCTGAGGGTTTTAGGGGTTTAGGGTTTAGGGGTTTAGAACCCTAAACCCTAAACCCTGAACCCTAAACCCTAAACCCTAAACCGACGGAAACAGAGCCAGGCGGCCGGGTGATCATGTGAGGCTTCTCGGAGAGGCAGTCCCTGCGCCAGACTCTCTCAAAGGGGAAAAGGAGGGACCCTTAATAAGGACCCCCAGGTATATACCCTTAATATAGCTGTTATACACCCATTATATATCCCATTATAGGGTTGGGGTCTCCATTAAGGGTCCCTCCTTTTCCCCTTTGACTCGCTGAAACTGCTCGAGATTGGCTGCTCCAAGGCTTTCGGAATCGGGACCTGTACGGTTGATGATATAATCCTGCATGACCCAGAATAAGGAATATACCATAATTCCCATAGTTTAGGGTCCTTAAGGTTATATCATCAACAGCATCAAACTGCTGATCTAAGGTTCAAGGCGTACGCCGTTTCGGGTTTGGTGTTGAAACGGGTCTAAAGCCCGCTGCCATACCATCTACATGACCTCAAGTTCGCCCGGGGTTGGGTTTAGTCCAGTACATGGGTAGTTCTCTAAATTAGGGTCTGTTTTTGGATCCATCAAACAGCACGACACCGTGATGAGAAGGATACCAAAGAGCACCCTAACTATCTAAGATAACTATCTATGTATATGGGAATTTACGAAAATACAGAACCCTAACATAGCACTTGAATAGTAGGATTCTTACTATAAGGACCCCAAAACAAGGCGCCCCTAATGTCGGAAACTCCAATAGAAAGAAGCAGCGACCCCTGTCGTCCTGTGAAGCTCCATGAGGAACTTGGTGTACACTGGCATGAAGATGAGGGTTCGAATCATGGCATCATTCCTGATACGGGACTTCCAGAAAAAAGAGACCGGAGTAATCATCTTGATCAACGTGAGTCTGAATATGTAAGGATCACTTCTCGGCTACCCAAACAGCTTGGTGCACTGAGCTGGAAAACTCAATACGAGTTCTCACTGCTGTAAAGCCCTGCATAAGCCTTGGTTTTGCTTCGATACGGCATCCCTCCCTCACATGAGAGGGCTCAGAACAAAGCATTGCTTTTGACCACCCTCCTGAGTTGCGATCCGTGCCCGAATGGGATAGCCATTGACCGAAGTTGCAAATACATGAAAGCAGGAAGTACACCAACTCTTGTTGGGTTGCTGATGCATTTATTTTAAGGCTGCGTTGGTCTTAGTTGCTGAGTTCATAAGCCCCAAAGAGTGTACACTTCTAGTTTTATAGTGGGTAATATTAAAAAGTGTAAAGTGTCTCCACTCAGCTACTAAGTGGTTGCCCCAAAGGGTCCATGTACCCATATACTATATACTCGGGCCCTATGGGGACTACTTTAAGGCCCATGTATATGCTATATAGCTACATGGGTGGTTGTCAAAATCATGGTCCCTTTCTGGTTACCCTGAATAATAGGTGCCGTGCTATAATGGGGACCCAAAAAGGGACCATAATTTTGACAACCACCCACATGGACCCTCAGGGTACTCTAGGTGAAGCTCGGATCCGACAAGTCCAAATCTGCCACTGCCTACCTGCTACCAACCTCGCAAGAGGTTTAGGGTTTAAGGTTTAGGGCCGTTCAAGGCTTAGGGTTTAAGGTTTAGGGTTTAAGGTTAAGGCCGTTTAGGGCTTAGGGTTTAAGGTTTAGGGCCGTTTAGGGCTTAGGGTTTAAGGTTTAGGGTTCAAGGTTTAGGGTTCAAGGTTTAGGGCCGTTTAGGGCTTAGGGTCCAGGGTTTCAGGTTTGGGGTTCAAGGTTTAGGGCCGTTTTGGGCTTAGGGTTTAGGGTTTCAGGTTTAGGGTTTCAGGTTTAGGGCGTCCGAGCTGCAGGTTGAGCAGGTTCGTTAGGCGAAGGCCCAAGGAAGCATAGCTCACCTCAGCCGAAAACCAATGCCGAAAACCAATGAAGCTTGGGATTCGGGTGAGTGTGGGGCTTAGGGGTTGGGACTTCTGGGGCTTTGGGTTTAGGGTTTATGGGGCTTGGGATTTGAGGGAGTACCTGGACCCCCAAAGTATGCAAAATATTGGGCCATTCTTTTAACTTTTGCCTACTTACTTTGGGGGAGGGGGTAGGTAATCATCAGAACAAAAAGGGTTTGGAGGAATATATTGTGCTAAAACTTGAAGATGAAAGGAACATGAGATGGTGTTGCCTCTTTCGTGCATCGACTCTACTATAGCTGCAAACTCTGACCCCGCACAGGATGAAACTCATACGGCTTATACAACCCCAAACCCCTAAACCCTGAACCCCATAATTTTCAGACTATACCCCCCGTAGAACCATGATAAACATAATATCTTTAATATTCTCCTGGGCTTTATATGAACAAAAATACAAAAATCCTGAGGAGACTATAGCAAACTGGAGCAGAATTTGGGGGTTCAGGAGCTTCTCGGGCTTCAGATGCGCTGGTGGGTTGAATGCGTAGGATGTAGCTTGGGCTTTGCAGGGTTCAGGGGTTTAGGGTTCAGGGGTTTAGGGTTTCGGGGTTTAGGGTTTAGGGCCTAGGGTTTAGGGTCTGGGGTTCAGGGGTTTAGGGGCTCAGGAGTTAGGGTTTAGGGCCTAAGGTTTAGGGTTCAGGGTTTCCAGTAGAGTCTTGAAGTTGAGTGATGATTGTTGAGGGGTTTGGTACACTAAACCCGAGAGCCACAACCCTGAAGCCTACCCTAAACCTTGATCCCTAAAGCCTAAACCCTGCCGTGCCCTGCTCCAAAGCCTGATCCATGTAGAGGCTTTTAGGGAGAAACGAAACAACGGTGAGAGTCGAGCTTGGGATGTATCAGAATCTGTTGGAGGGTTCCAGGAATTGTTGAACAGAAACCTCAAGAGTGTAACAGTTAAGGTTCAGGATTTAAGCTCTACAAGCCCTTAGATGCTCACAAAAAAACACAGCCCGAGCCGATCGACACCGAGATGCGAGAAAAAGCCACAACGGGTTCATGGAAGGCTTTTGCGGCTCTCGGTCCACCATCACCTGTCAACGGTTGAAACCATGGGCCCCTAGTATGGACCCTTAACCTTGGGATCCTTATATACCTACTATATACCCGATATAGACTCTTAAGGGTCCATATTAGGGGCCCATACTTCCAACCTTGGAGCCTGGCGGTCGTTTACAAGGTTTAGGCTTTCGAGCTTTGGGGTTTAGGGTTCGGGTTTAGGGCTTATAAGTAAGGATTTGGGGCTTAGAGTGCGCAACTCAACATTGATAGTTTAGAGGATTGAGGGGGCATATGGTATGAACACCTTGGGTATTGGGCTGGTCAGAGACTTGGGCTTAGCTTAAGTTTGGAGCTTGGGGGCTATGAACCCGAGGGTATTGGTCCAGGACGTCCTTTGGCCCCCTCGGTAGTATAGAAGCCTCGTTTAATTTGGGCAAGCAAGCTGTCTAGGGTTTGAGGGTCAGGGATATACGAGTATAGCAGGATTTGGTTCGGGGATACAGCAAGGGTTGCAGTTGGCAGTCTTGGACCAGTGAAGCTTCAGCTGAGCTTTGGCTCAAGCCTTACGAGTATTCAGAATTCCCTTATGAGGGAATCTGCCAGTTCAAGACAAGCCTTCGCTTTCATTCTTGCCCGCCTCGTAGACACCATACATTGTCACTTCAGTGAATAATGCCGTCCCGTAAAACCAGTAATATCGCTGCACTATCACGACAATGAAGGAACCTCTGAGAAGGCAGCAAAGAGTCTCCAAGCCAAGCCCTCGTCCCAAAACCCAACAAAACTGCGACAATCTGCCCAAAACGCTGCACCCTACATTGGAAGGTTCTCTGGTCCTTTTGCCATAACCCCTGGAAGCCTCATGCACCAAACTTATCCAACCGCTGCAGCCCTAAATGCCCAGGCTCCGTGCCAGCACTCCTACGGCTAATGGTCAAGGATTTTTTGGGTTTAGGGATTTAGGGTTTAGGGGTTTAGGGGCTTTAGGGGTTTAGAGATTTAGGGTTTGGGATGTAATCAAGCAGAAATTCGGGCTTAGAGGTTTAACTTGAATTGAGGAACATTTCGGGTTAAGAGTTGGGGGTTCCTAAAGAATGGCACTTCAACCAAGGGGCAGAGCGAGCTGCCGCAACTCCGGCCACGATTTCCACCAGAGCTCCGAACGGATGAAATCCTGAGGCTGGAGGCTTCCCTGCAAGATCAGACACTCTCAGAGTCCATGTACCTATGAGGATAGACATAAATAGAGCAACTCTCTCTACATTGTAAACTGCCTTTTGTAGACAGAGGGCAAATATACTTCGGACCCGCAGGGAATCCTATATAGTTAATTCACGGACAGCTTCTGTACTAGATTGGTACAAGTATCGTTAGGGTTGCTTGTGACTGGGCTGCTAGGGCTTAGTATTAGCCAGTTGAATGCAACCTGCTCGTACCAGAAATACCACCAAGAAGCGGTATGCAGCTTCGAATCATGATATCTTGGGGATGCACGGTGATAGTCTTTGGCATTTCTCGTTCAACATGCAACGATGACAGTGGAAAGTCAAAAGGTCCAGCCCAGAAGACTCCAAGGATTTCAAACGCAGAACGCCTACAAGAAACCTACAGGGACCTATGGCATGTTGTACGCCAATGGGAGGCATGCGTGGAATTGTAGCGCCCTTTGTGTATCGTGGGATTGCAGCGCCCTTTGTATATCCTGGACCGCAAAAAAGGACATGCGACGGAAATCCTGTGTCCTACCTGCGGCCAGAATGCTTGTGACGTTCCACAAGTACCTCAGTTGTTCTTCGGGTCTTTCGGGGCTGTGCGGTGACATCTTTAAGAGCGCATAAGACTTGGGGTTCGCCGTATGTGAGTCGTCATTCCGTGGGCGAAGCTCAACAGCCTAAACTTTGCACATCGAATTCCTCCATGAGCCACGTCGCTCTGGCGACTGACGGGTGACTTCGTGGCTCAACGTTTAGGTTTACTAAACACTAAACTCTGCCGCATTGGCTTTAGGGTTTGGGACAAAGCCCTAAACCCTACCGTGTCTGTCTGATGCCATGCTCGAAACTGCACCTAGCCAGTCTACAGCGTCTCGGTTTTGCGGTAAAGAGTCTGGACTACGCCACAGCGATGGCCAGAGCTTCTTAGATTAGGGGAACTTCTTGGCTTTAGATGTTCTCTATACGGCTTGGCCCACAGACAGGGATCTTCTCAAGGCGATGAGCCCTAAGTCCGGCGTCCTCTAATTTCTTAATTAATCGTAAAGGAGTGATGATGGAGGTTCTTTAAAGGCGAGAAGACGCATTACAGTTTACAGTTACATGGACACCCTGAGCCTTATGGATTTTGGGGAGGTTGGGGCCTTTGGGAACAAACTTCCCATCTGAGCTGCGGATGTGCGGTCCTCTCCGAAACTTGCCCACGGCAATAGAATTTCCATGCCTTTCAGGCACCGTACAAAAGGGCTCCAGAGCCGGGATGACGGGGCGATAGCTTACCCTAAGGCTCCATGTACCCATATAGTAGGTACCTATAGGTCTTAAAGTACCTATATAGACACCCCTTTAAGGCCTAAGTACTTACTAGATGGGCACATGGAGCCTTTGGGTTAATTACAGTAATATTAAACTCTTAGCAGCCCCAGCATCCTGGCAGCACTCCCCCACACCACTTTAGATAGAATCAGGGCCTCCAGCCTGCTTTTCGGATACGGGTATTAAATTAAAGGATCCAAATTTTGGGATGTGTAATCAAACGTTGCACCAACAGTTTGTCCTAAGCGTCCAAGGTACCAATATGTAGGCTTTAGGAAATAGAAATATATACATGTAAGATACATTACTGGATAAAGCGTACATGATGATCACGTGATCCAACCCTGGGCATTAATCAGGCTTAGAGCAAGCCCTGAACCCCAGGGTTTTAGGGTTTAGGGCAGGTTTACAACTTGGACCCGAAAGCAGAACTATGGACCCTTCTGCCTGGGAGTAGGAGAGCTTCTGCAGCAGCGACACGCCGAACAACGCCGCCATCAACTTGTGCAGGCCATCCTTGGACAGGGACGCCACCTGGAAGTCTCGGCTCAAAGGTTACAGGGTCTAGAGGGTTTAGGTTTGGGGTTGAAAGGGTTTAAGGTTTAGAGGGTTTGCAGTCTCCAACGGCTTTTTGGACTTGTTTGGGTGCTAAAGAATATAAGGTCTATGCTTGCGTGCTTAAGCCGCAAGACTCGCGGTTGTCGAATTCATTGGTGGGATCCGTAGAGACGCCAAAAGAGGCCATGATTTGATCTCTATACAGAGTCTTATGTCAGAATGTCCCTCTCCAAGTAATGAGGGGCGATTGTCCGTGATGTTCGCTCTAGCTCATACTTAGTTTTAGCGCTTTGTCAATAGATGTCACGGTGGGTGGTTTCGGCACTCGAGGCTCTGTAGGGGACCAAAACCTGCAGCCCTAATCCCTTCCAGCAGTCTAAGTTCTATGATTCTATGGCTTAAGGGCTTAGATTTTGGGGCTAGAGGTTATGACGGAAATGTTTAATTTGGGGGTTAGCGGCTAGCGGCTCGGACTTAGGGTGTACCTCGCTGAAGAAAACCCAAACAAACCCCAATGCCACGACGCAAAACCAGAAACACAAGCAACATGACCAAACGTTTCCAAACCACAAACCGAAGACGCTCGCAGCCAGCAGCTTCAAACTCTGATTCGGCAAAGCAACTACCGAAACCCAAGTCACGGCCAGAAAACTTCAAGCGTAACTTGCAAACAAGCGTTCAAACCCTTTTCAACCTTAACATTCTCAAATCCATTGTGGGTTCTTGTTGTAGGAGCAGAGTCTCAACCACAGTGCACCTTAGGAGAAATTGTCAGCACTATGAAGTGCTTGTTATGGCACCTCAAGCTGAGTCTTGTAACAAGATCTCAAGGACTGAACCCTAACCCTAATCCCTGACGTGCAGAATCCGATGCCTGAGGAAGCACGAAGGTCGGCAGGGTAACGTTTGCGAAGGTGAGGGACGACAGAAACCTGTTGATGCCCCGAAAAACCCAAACTATGTAAACATAGTTGGAATCACTTTTGGCAAGCCCTATCAACACCCGGGTCATATAGCAAACCCTTAAAACGTTAACCCTAAAACCTGGTTAGTAGAGCAAGTTAGTAGAGCAAATTACAGCCAACCAGCTGGTAATCGGTACGGGGGTCCAGGGTTCTGGGTTTGGTGTTTTGATGTTGTGCATTCAAGATCGGGGTCTTAGGTACTAGACGTTTAGGTACGACGAAGCAGCCGGTTCTTGCAGCGTCTAGGGCTGGAGTGACTTAGGCCCTCGGGTTTCGGTAATCAAAAATTGGGCTGAAGGCTGGGATCTAAACTGTGAACCCTGAACCGGCCACCTAAATTTCCTATATTTCGAGGTGCCGGAGGGTGTGGCTTCTTGAAAAACAGAAAACGGAATTGTGGCATGCATGATACTGTACATCGAACTACAAGCAGAGAGCATTACCAACTGCTCACTCCCACTACTTGGGGTCTCTAGCTCCTCAGAAGATTCGCCTCGGCTTCCTTCCCAGAGGCTCCAATATCCCTTAATTAAAGACAATTCCTTGAATCATATTAGGGCTCTTATTATAGGTTAATAAGGTATAGTCCTTAATTAAGAGATATTGGAGTCGGGCTTCGTGTCCCCAGTACCCGTGGTAAGGCAGTCCCGGTAGGCCAAATGAGCTTCCGAAGTGGCCCCTTCAAAAGGAATTCCTTCTTTGATCTGTTTAAGTTCAATAAGGAAGCCGAAACAACAAATGCCACACGAGAAACACACATTCATGAACCCTGAACCCTCCACCGAACGCCCTAAACGCTGCATGCCCTAGACCTAAAACTGTGCCCTAAGCCCCTGGAAACCCTTCAAAGGAGGTCCGGCCGAAGCGCTCACCTGTAGTTATGATCAAACACAGCTATAACACCAGGACGGAAGCTAGGGGTTATCGAGCACATCAAAACAGCCCTTCCAGGACCCGGGGGGGGGGATCTAGGTCAAGCCTTTTCCATACATCCTACATATAGACTAAACCAGAAATCCGAAACCCCTAAACCCCTTATGAATCCCAGGCCAAAGATAAATCCCCTGAACCCTAAACCCTACGTGAACGCGGTTGTAAAACAGCTCTGAACTATGCTGAACTCCCAGAGACTCCAATATCCCTTAATGAAGGAAGACACCTTAAAATATAGTAAGAGCCCTAGTATGCCTTAAGGAATATTCCTTCATTAAGGGATGTTGGAGCCTTTGGGCTCTAAGAAGCCCAAAGTTCGTATCCTTAAGGCTCCCACCATGTCGGTGGGTTCCAGATCTCTGCTTCCGAAGGGAACCACGCCTTTTGGGAGATCGGAGGTTCAGGGGGTTTAGGTTGCAGTTTTTAGGTGTTTAGGGTTTAAGGGCTTGGGGTTTTAGGGGTTTAGAGATGAAGAGTTTAGCATTTGGGGTTTGGGATCTAGTTTTGGTTTGGGATGCAATGTAGGGGCCTTAGTAGCTAGAATAGGGCTATGGGGTGTACGGATGATATTATGATAAGCACACAGGCAATGATTCAGGCCCCTATACCAAGGCGCAGAGGTAAACGAGGGTTTGAAGAGTGCAGCAAGTGATTAGGGTTGAGGGCTTAAGCTTTAGAAGTGCAACCTCGGCCTCACGCCATGGACATCAGTGGCGATAGCAAAGTTTTATAGCAACGGTAACAGTGACAAGGCTGGAAAATGAAAAACAAGAGCACTAACCATGGCTCCTAAACCCTTATACCAAAAGCCCCAACACCACCATGGTTTCTGCCCTTTGCTCCCGGACCTACATGCAAGGGGGGGCTAAACTTGCTAAACCTTGAACTCCTCCTTTTTCAAAAACCCTAAACTCGTGTGAACACCCATGACTGCCTGCCTGGAGAAGACTGTAGTTCAGAAAGGCCTGGCATGCTTGGATCTAGGGCATATCAAGCAACCGTCAAGCACAAAGAACAGGGCCGTTGATAGAAGGACCCTGAATAAGGGAGTCCTCTGACTCATATTCAGAGACCTGACCCCAAGTTCAAGAAGGTATGCAGGCGCATGTTGTCTGTGTATGTATATATATGTATATATATATATATATATATATATATACATATGTATGTGTATATATATATACACACACATGCACATAGATAAGGCCAGATTCCCCGCTTACAGCATGGAGATTCCACCTTTTGGGGGGTCTGTGACTAGTGACTAGTGTGCCTGTCTTGTGAAGCCATGTGCGCCGCACTCCTGAAGGTGTCATTTGTGAATTTGGAGGTCAAGGCGCCGAGTATTTCAGATATGTTCTGTTTAGGGTTTAGGGAACTATTCATATTGTTGCTATTATTATTCTTAATATTAGTTTTATTATTATTACTATTATTATTATTACTGTTATTATTGTTATGATTAATCTTGATATGATTATTATTGTTGCCGGGAGCTGGTAATGATACGTCGATCATGTGCCTTACCCGGGAGCAAGTGCTGGGTGACAAATGAGCAGCCCTGAACCTTGCAAAAGCTGAGAAGACCGACCTAAGTCCATACCTGAAGCTATTCCCACCCCTGATGCAAGGGTATAGGCTGTGGTTGTCGGCCTATCACCCAACACGGAAGTATCTCACTGGGACGGAGTACAACGACTAAGGCCCATAAAGCCTAACTTGAGAGCTGCAAACCGCAACAGCGGAATCCGAAATCCATTCCCTAAATTTCTCTCTCACTCAAACACCGTACTTCCTGCATGTTTGAAAACTAACCCATGTACTGCATGGGATGTAAGCTCAAAAACTCTTTCACTTTCGGGCACATTGACCTGAGACCATAAAACCCGAACCTGATGTCATCACGAAGAAAACAATCAGAAAATGTTGCTTCGGCCATAGATGGTGGGATCCACCTGCCTGCAAATCCCAAAAAGATTCCCACTGCTTCTTGAGACCCCAATATCCTCTTCATCATAGTTCGCCCCCGACTTGATGTCGGAAACCAGAACCCTACGACCCAAGGCTGACCTAAATCCACAACCCAAACCTAGATTCAAAAAAAACAACGCATCAAGCCCTGCAGTCCCAAACTCTGAACCCTATACTGCACAAAAAACGCCAAAACATTCAGCCGAAATGTGAGTTTCAGAAAATCCGGTGTCCCTTGTGATTTGTCGGGTCCTGATAATAAGGATCCTACTACTATTAGCGTCCTATTTTAGGGTCCCCTATTTTCGGAAAACCCCAAATAGACCCAGGCACATGAAGTCCGGTAGTCTTCCAGGAGTTGTTCATAAGACGGTCCTGGCTTCATGTGTAACGTTTAGGGTTTAGAGTTAAGGGCCTTACTAAGTATATAGAAAAAAATTGGTGTGTATACTATAGTAATACTGGAATCCCATAAGCATCAATATCGGAAAATACCCAAGCTCCTCCATTTTGTCAATTTCTCGGGTGTGCAAGGTCGCTTAATGTAAGGGCCTTGACAATTAGAAGATGGTTTAGGGGTACATTATGCTATACTTATGATAAGGAACCCCCAAAAACCCTCTTCGAATTCTTCACGCCCCTATATTTGCGATCTGATGGCCAGGTGCTACGATGTTTCGGCTGAGAGCCTGGCAGTTAAATTGCATTTAGGGTTTAGGGTTCAGGGCTTTTTTAGGGCTGCAGGCTTTAGGGTTTAGGGCTTAGAGCCTGGCATTTAGGCTGGGACAGGGGCCTGTCAAAGAACCTGATTTGATTACTGGGGTAGGGCTTTGTGCAAAAAAGCTGACAGTCTTAATGTAACAGTAAATGAGACTGAACCCTAAACCCTAAACCCCTATAAACCCTAAACCCCTAAACGAACTCCTTACCAGAGCGGCCCAATGCCTAGTCTACTGCAGACAGCTCGTGGCGTTAGACTCAAGGCCCTCTAGTTTAGGACCTTAGGGAAACACAAAAACTTCAGCAACCCCCCTAACTCCTGTAGACTTTGCAGTCTGTAGAACTCTCTGTGCAGCTCATGTGTCGGTGGCGATGAACATCGGAGCACCCAAGGTGGAAACCAGGAAGTGCAAGGGATAGTAGCCCATGACCTAGCACTGTCATACAATCATACAAGGCAACCGATTCAGGGTTTAGCAACTCGGGCTGAAGCATTTCGGGCTAAGGGAGAAAAGGATGTTCTAGGGTGTAGTTAGGGTGGTTCAGTGGTTGGGATTAGGACGGTATCCCTGAGCTGAAGCAGCTGTAGGATTCTTGGTGAAAAAACTTTCAACGGCTTTATTTGAGAAGTTTCTATGAGCCTTGTAAGCCATACAATAGGGCAATAAGGCTACGGTTACAAGGTTGAGGTTTTGGATCTGGGTTACGGGCTATGGAGGTTTACGGTTTAACTCTATATAGCAGTCAGTATGATGTGAGCCACAGAGAATGTACCCTATGGAACCAACTGCCAAACAATGGTTAACGCTGAGGTAGTTCATCCGGGGTTTTCTGTTTTGTAGCAGAAAGTATTGAACTGTTCCAGCGTGAGGAACCCGCGTACGTCCAAAACTTAAGCCTGGATCCGGACCTACAAGTGGCTTGTCGAGTATTAACCATAACCCTAAAACCCAAAACCCAAAACCCCTAAACCGCTAAAAACCCTAAACCCCTAAACCCTAAAACCCTAAAACCCTAACCCCAAAAGACTTGGGTATCGGGCTTGCAGCTGCAGGTCTTTGAGTTTGGGGGCCGGGGGTTCGGGTCTAGTTGCGAGCATCAGAAGGCAAGTAAGTTGGTGCAAGTAAATGCAACCCCGTGAGACTTGCAGGAGCATCAGCCCCCTGACCCTGCGAGCCCCAGAGACAAGACACCTACCCTCAAATAGCATGTGCTTAGGCCCGCAGCGGATCCATAGTGGCAGTCTTGCTCTGTGAGGATGGTTAGTGCGATGTATTAACCAATGGTCGAAACCAAGATTTCAGTACATCGGTACCCCAAAACGCTAAACCATCAAGTGAACACCGAACTCTGAGACAGCACATGTGCTGCCGTTTCAGAGGTGCGCCATGATCGTTGAACGGTGGTTGATGTGATGGCCTTCGCTGATAACATGGTGCGCGACTCGGGTTTAGTGTTTAGAGGGGTTTAGCCATGGGCAGCAGTGAAAGCGATTATCGGAAGTCGTAAGTAACGCCCGGCCCCGATGCTGTGAACTGCAACTTCAGGTAGGGTTATAAGCAATGACGCAGTACGAATACCAACTGCTCACAGGACAGATTGGCCACATGCGCCGTTAAGTGTTCCCAGAACTCGCACAAGCGCAGCATCATGTGCGGCCTTCTGCCAGAAGAAAAGCTCTGGGTCCTGGCGCCGGGCTCTCCCGCATCCCGCCCGGACTCTAAACCCTCAACACATACACATAGTACCATTGCCGAACCTCCAGGGGACCCACAAGAAACACATGATGATACGAACAGCTGCTAAAACCCTAAACCCTATAACCATATAGTGCTTGGAACTCCTCCATCATGCCTCAGACTCAGACCCCCAGCTGCTGGCTTCCAGATCAGGGGTACATGTAAAAAGTCTTTCTTGAAATTCTGAAAAGCGCGTAGAAGCACCCAATCTTAAAGCCTCTTGCCGAAGGTTCCCTGAACCCTTAACCCTAACCCCTAAACCCCTAAACCCCTAAACCCTAAAGCCCTAGACCCTAAACCCTAGACCCTAAAAACCCGAAACCCTCCAACCTAACTCTGATATCCAAGTGCTAACCATAATCCGACACGCAAAACCTCAAAGTAGAATACAGAGGCCTTCACACGTAACTATACTGTTGTGGGGGTTGCTTATGATAACTATAGCATACCCCAAACCCTACACAGTATCCTTAAGGAAGGGGGATCCAAGGGGGGTAAACAGCCTAGTGATCCCTAATTCTCCCTGGTACTCCCTGAGGTTCCTTTAGAGTCCCCTAAACATTCCTTGTACCCTCCCCCCTTGAACCACCCTCCCTCAAGGATCCTATAAATAGGGCGCGTCGGCTCCTTCAGCTTCTTGACGTCGTGACTCCGCTCGCCGAGGTTGGTCGACGTGTACGCCGCCACATAACCAGAGATGGCGAAAAAACCTGCGCGCAAAGTTCGATCCTTATATGGGCTTCCTTTAGGTGTGTACCTATAGTCTCCATTGTAGTTCCTTTTTGGGGTTACCTTATAGGATCCTTAATATGTACGTAGTTAGTTTAACCACCAAAAGGAACTGCAATGGAGACTATAGGTAGGGTTGGGGTATGTTGGGGTCCTAGGGCTTCGGGGCTTTAGGGGGGTTTAGGGGTTTAGGTTCGCCCAAAGGGTCCATGTACCCATGTACTATATACTTTGGCCCTAAAGTACCTATATTATATACAGTAGGGACTACTCTAAGGCCCATGTATATACTATATAGCTACATGGACCCTCAACTTTCGCCCAACGGGTCCAAGTACCAATATAGTAGGCAATATAGTAGATATGTGGGCCCGAGAGTTTATACCATACCGTTAATTACTCGGGCCCTTGGGTCGAACTCGGGGCGAGTGCCCTACTTGCACACTTGCGCAAGTAGACCATAGCTGTTAGGACTTCGGAATTGGTTCCGTTTCACGCACCATGGGACACAAATAATGACAACCTGGATCGTTCGGCAAGTTCAGGGGATTGCAGGAAGTATCAGGTGAAGGATTCGGGTTTAACATTTCCAAATAGGATCTGGATCGGTCTCTAGAGACTTGAAGTTGCAAACATGTAGGCATTTATGAATACACCCGGTTTCGGCAATAAACTATAATGCAACTACGTGGAGAAACTACTGTTAGTAATGATTGAAACACCTATGTTACCTTCAGGTCTCTCGCTCCCCTTAAACTGCCGACAACAGGACTGCGCCCAAAAAGCAAGCACTCCCATGCTGCCTCCCACGAGCACATTCTCTTGCGTCAAGAGCTTCAAGAGACGCTTGTTGTCCGTACCTTCTACAAGGGCACTATGGTGACACTCTAAAGAGACCCTGAACCCCAAACCCTAAACCCAATTAGTAGCTAGCCCGACCTCGAGTCTGTACTACAGCATTTTCAGCAGTAGGCATGGATTCAGGAGTGTGGTAGGGTCCAGGAATGCGACGTCTATGTCTGTATGATCATGATCTATATGTACGGCTGAGAGTTGCGGAAGCCAGAACATAAAACTGAGACCCAAAACTCAGAAGCCTAAACGCAAAACCCACCCTAAACCCTAAACCGTAACCCTGAACTCCAAAGCTCTACATCCAGCACCCCAATCCTTAAAGACCGAAACACCCAGAGGCCACAATTTAGGGCTTGGGGTCTCGGGTCTCGAGTCTAAGTCTAGGCTCCAGTGTACGGTTTAGTCTTTGGTTTAGGGTTTAGGGTTTAGGGTTTAGGGTTTCGGGTTTAGGGTTTAGGGTTTAGGGTTAGGACCTATGTGATGCTTTCACATCAGGATCTATGTACCTGTATGTTATATGCTTAAGCCTTCGCGAGGCTTCTTTGTTGCAACATCGGGGCATTCTGGACGGTTTCTGGACCCTTAGGGACATGAATGCACACACAATCCCCTAGCATGAGTCCATGTGCTAAAGCTGGAAACCATTATCAGCAACATAGAAAGCTGTGAGTTCTAAACACCCCATGAAATCTGTAAACTCGCACCACCACACACCTAGCAACAAACCTGACCTACAGACTGCATGCTAGTTCTAACGTTGGTTTGGACGCTGTTGTCAGCTAAAATCCTGCAATACGAGACAAGGCAGCCAAAACAAATCTACGGTCGAAACGCAGGTAAACCATGCTAGGCTGACGAATAAACTGAAGAATCTGAGCCCTAAGTGCATCCCGGCTGCCGAAGCGGATGAAATGGCCAAGGATGATGGGAAAAACCTCGGAAATCTCATCAGGGAATTTGGCATAATCAAGGTATTCTTTGCCGTGCTCATGATCTGGTTATAAGCAAAACATCCCACTACAGTTGTTAGTCGCTACAATGCTTTGAACCGGATGGTAAGGAGATCGAGTATTAATTAAACTAATTTGTCTGAAGTTTGCAGCTACCGTTGTCGCGTTCGCTGTCCTCTTGCAGGAGCCTGCTTGGAGGTTCATGGGTAGCTATAAGTAGGGTTATAAGTAGGCTGACTATGGTTATAACCTATATTATGGGACTTATTACCCCTCTTAGAACGTTGTTCGAGGAGTTACCCCCTCTCCGGGATGATGCTCTTGTGCGAGAAGCTGAAAGGTCTGATGATTCTGTGGGCTTAGGATTTCGGATCCATTGCTTAAGTGCTAGGGTTCGGAGTATACGTAGGTTTAACAGCTAAGGGTTCAGGCTTCCCCGCCCCCCCCTACGGACAAAAATGACCACACAAACCAAGAACAACTGATCCCAAAATCCTGAAACCCACCATAAAATTACAAAAAACTGAACCTAAGAGTGCCCTAAACCCTAAACCCTGAACCCAAGAGTGCAAATCTTCAAACATCAGTCCTTAGCATCCCGAGTCCGAGACAGCGAAGCTGCCGAGGTGCCAAAGGGAAGCGGCAGCCATCAATGCAGTCCTAGAGTAGGGTTCCTTTAAGGGTACCATAAGGGTTCCTTTAAAGGGATCTATAAGGGATCCATAAGGGTTTAGGGTATAAGGGTCCATGGGTTTGCAGTAGAAACCCAAAAGTTGGAAACCCCATAGCCTCAATCCTTAAGAGTGTATAGGGAATCGCAGCACTATTTGGCCTTAATCTGGTTTCCAACTTTATGGAGTTTACTGTACAGATTGCCAGGGTCTCCAAAACTAACCCTGAGGGATACGCTTACGGCACGAGTTGAACTGTTCGCAGCTCTGGGCAGGAACCCTCAAAATAGAGTCTTAACTCCCGGACACTAGACCCCCAAATCTAGTCAAATTCCCATGCCATAGATAATAATAATAATCCTGCAGGTCCCCTGTTGGGGCTTCTGTGCCTGAAGTCTAGATGAAAACATATTCTTGTTCGCCGCGCAGCTTAAGATAACGAACACTTCACACCCCAAGCCCGAAACTGAATCCCGCCAAAGGC